CTCTCCCTGACTAGCTCACCTGAACCAAGTGGCACCCAGTTGTTATGTAATTCCCTGATGGCAGGATCAGTAACCTTGGCATTTGCTTGCGACCTGAGAGACTGACAGCTCCCTGCCATGGTTTACATAACAAATAGAAATTAGGCCAAAGTCCTTTTCCTCTCATTTGTCTGATGGGCATCGTGGGGAAATTAGATTTTATTGTCTAAAGTGACCAACCTGTTACATCATTACGATCTCAAAAGACAAAAAGACAGAACTGAACAGCGCTGACGTTTCATAACAACGATTTACAAATAAAGCAAGAGGTCTTTTTCACATTTTAGATTCCACATGGCATTAATGCTAAATTGTTTTGTTTGCATTCAGCTCCTTGGCCCATTAATAGATTAGCCAGTAGTCTTATGTAACTGCATCTTGTATGAGCATCTTAAATGGGATTGCCTCACTCAAAGTAAGCCAGTGTGTTTCCAGACAAACCGGTTACAATGTTTGTTTGCCCCACTTCTAGGCCCCAAAGCCAGATCACGCAGTAGAAACATCTAGTAAAAGATTACTGCAGGAATGGGGTTCAGCATTAGAAGACATTTGCCATAGCTTGTCGTTTCCGCTTTTTAAACTTAAAGGATTAACATTCATAAGTGGTCATCAAACCTCAGGACACCTGGATGTACTTTTTGTTCTCAGAAGTCCTGACAGGTCTGTGATTTCCATTGCCGTGTCAATGATGCCTAATGGGTGTCAGACTTTCCAAATTGAGGCTTGTAAAAACTCAACCGAGCTGGCATAATTGTATGCGTGTGAGTGCATCTGTGTGCGTGTGTCTCAGTGGGTTTACAAGCCACATGCTTTTTGTTTTTGTTTTGATGGAGGAAGGAGGGGGGACTGGGTGAGTGCTGGAAACGACTCCTACCTTCCATCCTGCGGAGCTGTTGCTGTCGCCTTTGTCTTTGAAGTAGGGGATGGATCTCACCATCCAGTCGTAGATCTGCGACAGGGTCAGTCTCTTGTCCGGCGAGCTCTCGATGGCTTTGGTGATCAGGTCGGCGTAGGAGAGGTTCCCCCAGGCGTTGCGGCGGGACGAGGCTTTCCGCGGGGTCTGCGCGGCCGCGGGGCCGCCGGGGGTCAGCGCACCGCCGGCGGCGGCCGGAGGGGAGTGCGCGGAGGGCGGGGAGCCCGCGCCGCCCGGGCCGGGAGAGGGGAGAGCCCCATCGGCCCCGGGGCTGCTGCCGCTGCTCCGGTCCCCCGCGGCCAACGGGCCTGCGCCATTTACGCGCACGGCCGTCGGACCCGCATTGTCCTCCTCGTCGTCCTCCTCCTCGGGGATGATGTCCGCGTCGCTGCCCTCCGGCTTCACCGCGCCCGACTCGGGTCGCGGCAGCGGCCAGGTGCACGACCGGGGCCGCTTCTGGGGCTCAAAGTCCGGGTCGATGACCACGTCCAAGTCCGCCAGCGCGTCTCGCGGGACCGGAGCCTCGGCCATTATCTGCAGCTCCAGACACAATCTGATAAAAAAAAAAGTTACAAGACAACACACGGAGAGCTGTCAAAGTCGCGTCCCATGAATGCGCGCTCCCGTCCTTTGTTGCTCTTTAACGCCAATTCCAAAACCGGGGCCAGGAGCGACTTGGGTTATTGACGCCTGTTGAAAATATAAAAGAAGAATGAACCGACCCAGAACACTCGGTTAGAGTCCAACAGAAAACGGCAGCAGCACAGAAATCCCACAAAGCAGAAACTGAGAATGTGATCTTAACATTGGTCACTGAAGCCAGAGCAATAAAAAAAAAAGATTCAAAATGATTTCATAAAGCCATATCGCCCGTCAGCCTGACTCTAATTGAGGTGAAACGCTCATAGCTCTTTAAGTAAGGCTACACTACATCCCGTCCTGGTGCAGGATCCGAATCCCCCTCCTGTCGCCCAGTGGCTGAGAAGAAAGTGCAAATACATCTGATCGCCCTGGAAATAAATCCCCTCGAACACAATAAATGAATTACCTTGAACTGCCAGGCTCTTGCGCTCTGTGGTGGCACACAGACACGCACACACACACACGCGCGCGCACAATACAAAAAATAAAAATAAAGAGAAAAGACTAGATCTCGGATTGTCCACAGCCACGTCCAGATGCCATCTTGACTCGCTCCTCTCTCACTGCTCCGCGATAAAGAGGCAGATATGAGACGTGCGCGGGGACCGGTCGGTGTCGATGTGGAATAAGGCTGCCACCTCACTCTGGGTTACTACTGTATCTCGGTTTGCTCTCCACACCGCTCACACGCTCGTCCATACGCACGCACAAACGCACGCACGCACGCACGCACGCAGGCGTACACAGACGGGCAAGTCGATCATGGACCTGCCCCCTGAATCCTGAGCATGGGATCGCCTTTTAAAGAGACACTGCAGCCCGGCCTGCACGCAGGTGGAGGCTCCCCGGACACGTCCCGACATGTCGGTGATGTGCTGAGACATAAACCCACGGAACGGTGGAAGGATTAGAGGGAGAGTTCATGTTATAGAGAAGTTTCCAGACTATATTGGAAATTAAATGGTCCAGTACGTGTCAGAAGGGACACCAGATAGTTTTTCTGCTTCGTCCCCCCCCTGTGCTGCTTCACCTTTTCATAGATACATCTAAGACACACACTTCAATGTTGCAAAGGTTGATTAGTTTAAAGAGTCTGTTATTCGAGAACCTGCTCAGTGGATGTGATGGACTGGTTAAAAATGCATAGATATTCCATTTGCCTTCTCAGAAACAAAAGCCATGTAACCTGGATTTACCAATAACTGACAAATCTGAATAAGTCATCTGTAGACATTTAAGCTTTAAATGTCTGCTGCTCTAAAATGTCCATGGCCATCATCCTGTGTAACATGTAACGTGTCCTTTATATGTCTGAGGCAAAAAGAGAGACTGCAATCGTCCCATGGAAAAATGTAACCCACAGCCCACTGACTTTATCTCTGAACAGCCCTGGTGGACAGGGTAGATACCAAGTGCTTTTAAAAACAGTGAAACACTCTGATGGCTCAAGCCCCATCAGTCGCGCGTCCCTTTAACAGACGATCGAAGTTGTCAATCATTGTCTGTCACTGCGAATAGACCACGCCCCCTTCTGAAGCCCAAATGACGTCATCCGGTTTATTAGCCACAGATAAAGAGGTGAAATCGCAGATGGTTAAGTGATGCTCTGGACCTCCTCCCTCCTCCTCTTCCTGCCTCCTTTCCACCTTGACAGAATCAAAACAGCCTCATCCACCTCCTCTTTGTTCCTGCTGCGCGTGGTGCGCGTGCTCGCCGCTCCTGTGCAGGAATGCGCGCTCATGGCAGATTGTAGCAGTTATATATTGAAGGATGAGGATTTTCCTGAGTGTTTTCTTACCTTTTTTTCTCAGCCAGTGAAATCTTGTCATATTCAGTGAGCTCGCGTCTTTCCTCTGTTGTTCATTTATAGTCAAATCACAGCAAAAATACTTTGTTTCTTTCACATATTCACACATTCGACAAGATTACTCTATCCATCAAAAAGGATGCACATGGCCTTTGTTTCTGGACTCAGTCGCACACATTTTACCGTACAGGGGGGTTGCAGCTCACAGGGTCTTTTACAGCTGCTGTCTGGAATCTTTACTGTACAGGAATATGGGAGATGGTTTCAGGACACACACACACACAGATTGTGCGATGGCTTTTGTTCCCTGCACTTCAAAGAGAATACCTGATGCAGCAGTTTGGCTCCTGCAGAGTTAACTGCTCAACGGGTGTATGATGGGAGGTTATGGTGTCTTTGTGCAGAGAGAGTATTCATTTTACAAAGACCAGCGCTTTCAGACTCACGTAGAAGTTTTCCCATCTTCAGGTGAGTTTATATCCGTCGAGAGAATGTTGCTTTCTTTTTTAGAGAGATTCCATTTTAAACTATAGAAATATGTTTCCTGTGCGGATCGTCCAATCATCCAGCTTTTCTTTGAATGTACTGTTTGGACATCTTGTGTGTAGTCGACCTGACACACTGATGTTTGATAGCTTTTTCCATCTGGGCAGAGATACGAATCTGCACATTCAACACGGTGCGCCTCATCATGAGGGGATCCATGTCACATTGCACAAAACAACTGACAGAGGTCTTTTTTGCCATCTCTGATTCGGAATCAAGATAGGCTGCATGCCTCCGTTCCGGGCCACAACAGTGACACAAGAGAAGGCAATTTTCCACACAAGTCAGAAAACACACACAAAGCAAAAATCTCTTTCCCCCTCTCCACGAACGATAATGTCTTCTGGGTTGAAGCCTGTAAATAGAGGGCCGTTCCCACAAAAGCATGACTGAACAGGTATATGGAGACAACAGCTCAATTCTATAGCATGTGCTTTCAGATGATCGGACAGATGGCTGGGTTATGAAATCTGCGGACCAGAGAGGAAGGATGCGACGACCACTCCTCTAACGCAGGGTGAATCATCCAGTTAAGACGATCACACAGCGCGGCAGCCATCTCTGCTGATGTCTGATGTCTCCCCCCTAAATGGCGTAATGCTCTGATTGGATTAAGGGGCCTCAGCATAAGACCTGATTGATTTTTCTATAATTGAAAGTTATGATGGGGGCTGACTTTGAGCCTCAAGGCCTATTAAACGATACATACCATGTGCATGTATCTGTGCACACACTCACACACCTGCAGATTCCTTTGAATCTAATTCAAGAACACACTTACTCTGGCATGTCTGTTCCTGTTCCTTGACACTGGCTATTTGGCCTCTCCATGCAAACACAGTCTTGTATAACGCTCTTGGTTTGGACCCTAGCTGCTATCAAGGCGGGCTGGTCCAGGCTGGAGTGCTGCACTAGGATGACCTCATCCTTAGGTGGACAACAAAAGACCTTGACGTATTGGTTGATCTCTGCTTCCACCTACAGGCCAAAAGGAGAACTACAAACCACAAACGTTCACTACTGGGAAACAAAATGTAAAACACAAAGCAGGAAGGTCATTAATGATCTTTTATATATGTAAAGAAGCCCTTTATTGGTAAGGCATCTGTAGTTAAGAGCACGTTTAAGGAAAAAATTATCAAACGCTGTGCTACGGAGATTAATATAACATTATACATTTCTCATTTATAATCGTGCACAGATATGCTTTAATCATGCTTTTTGATGTTGCATATAATCTGGTGAAATCAGCTTGTTATCATTTTAAACTTTATATATTTAAACAAATGATATAGTGAATTCCAAAATTGGGACAATCTAGTTTAAATTACCTTTCTTGCAACTAAAGGGTCATTCTATTTTTTGTTTTAAGCCCTTTTTTTCCAATGTCAGGATGAATGAAAAATATAAATACGACAAAAGAATGACAGTGATGTTTAACATTAAATGCAACATTTCAAGATCAATCCACCTGTCCGATTGCAAGAGAGCAATGTGTCAGCAAAGAGGTAATAGTTGTTATAATCAAATCGGCAATGCCCCAGTGGCAGCTGTAACATACAGGGATTCATTTCTTGTATAACATTCTTCAGCAGATTGTATGCAGTCAACTCATCATTCATTGGCAATACCACTCTTTCCCAATGGGGTTGTGGGGTTCTGGAGCCTAACCCAGCTGACATTGGGCAGGAGGCAGAGTACAACCTGGACAGGTCACCCTGACAGTTTATTCAGATTTTCAAAAAAAAAAAGAAAAGGATCCTTTTCCCTGTCAAACACTAGAGGGCACTAACCACCTGCAGGAAAAGCCCCCTGTTCCCCTCATCTCTCTGAGCACCTGTTTGCCTTATGGTTCACAACCACTGCAGAGCTTTCTTTAATTATTAGAAGAGTATGGCTTCCAGAAAATGGCAAAAATAGGGGAATAGAAATGGAGCGACACATACAACAAATGAGGAGAGGTTCATCTCAAAGAGGCGCTGTGTGAGTTTTGCTTTGTTGTAACCTACTGCATATGTTCTGATGGTAAAGGACGCTGCTTATGTCAAAACAGTTCACTCTGGATGCCCAAATGTAAGTGCATACTTTTCCTGTTATGGTTTGAGGGTAGATGGGTCAGAAGCAGCATGCTATCTGGAGGTATATCATTGTAGAGGCAGTGGTTTAGAGAAGTTAGGGGTTTATGTGTGTCCTTTTACAACCACGATCGCCTTCCATCCAGTAGGCTTCAGTTTGCATCTCTCTTAGCCTAGAGATGGTCCTCTGAAAGGCAAATATCTCCTCCTCCGCAGTAAACAGAGTAAGCCTCTCTGCTGCCTCCTGAAAAGAAGCAAACATCGGGGTGTTGAATTCAGCGACACGGGATAAATATCTAAATGTAGGTGCACACAAGGTAATCTTTAAAAAAATAAAAAAGGATGGGCTCAGAGAAGCTGTCCAGCAGCACCAAAGCTGTGTTTCTTTTTCCTTTTTATAAGCCGCTATCGCAAAGCATGGTAAATAGAGCAGGGGACATCTTACCCCGCCGAGGCCCAGGTCATCCAGCAGCTGCCAGTCTCGCTCGTCCTCGCCTCCGGTGTGGGAAAACAGTCGGTCTAACGGAGCAGCTGTCAGCAGCACCACCCTCACCTTGGAAGTTGAAAGAAAAGTGATGTGTGTTTTTTTTTTTAATTAACGTGGCTTTCTGTGTCATTAATGATCCATTCACCGTGATTAAGACAGAATGAGAGCAGATAAATGCTCATCCAACGCTTGTCTAAAACTGCAGAGTTTAGAACTGTACAGCATTAGATGTCAATCAAAATGAAGAGCTGCTTTATTTGCCGTTTCAAGTTTACAGGTATCTCCACCGATGGCCACGGCTGTTAACATATCAAACAAAAGCTAACACATGAAACTCCTGAGGAAAGCACGCGTTGAGGGAGCACGGCAGCTGCAGAAGTAATAAAAACAGATTCAACAGATTATTTTCCACATGAAAAAAGAAGAAAAACTTCAGTCACCTAAGCTTCATTGTGAAGTTGGGAATGATTGATGCTGGTTTTAAAAATCAGGTGCAAAATACTCCAAAGTTATGTGGAAATGGCCTTATTGTTTCATCATGTTTTATTGATTTCATTGCAAAGAAATGCAATTAGTTGTAAAGACTATTTTTTTTTCCGGGTTGAATACCTTGTTGTCATAGAAGTTGTCTATGAGGGTGGTGAAGCGTCTGGCCTGGTCCTTCAGAGACAGCGTCAGCAGAGGAACGTCTCGGATAAAAACTGTGTCAAAGAGTCGTGCCATCTCCAGGTAGTCACTGGCACCCAGAGCCTGGACAGCAAAGGAACAGGTAACATTAAGAGACCGAGCCGACCTGAGCCCCTGCACAAAGACTTCCCAGAGAAAAACGATTCCGTGATACACAGGCACAGAAACAGGCACAGGCATAGAAAAACTATGCACACCCTACCTGGCCTGAAAAAGGGAAGAAAACCCTTTTTTTTCCAGTTCATCCTGTGCTAAAGACTTGCCGATGTAATGTCCTTGGGCCCTCGACATTCAGTTTGATTGCTCTTAAAATTAAAAAGAACATGATAAAATATGGCAGAGGAAGCCTTGAAGCTCAAATGCCTTCTAAAACTCAAAAACCGTCCATCAGGGTCGAGACTTCACATGCACACACACAGCAGACCACAGCATCAAATAGTTTTACGAGAGGCAGAGCAGGCTCAGCTAATCATGAAATACTCAAAAGCTCTGCGTTTTGACATTGAGCGGAAAATAGGAGCAAGATGGAGTGAAAAGGCTTGGAGAATGGCAACACAGAGGAGGGAAGAAACAGGGCACAGAAATAATAATGACCCAAGAGACTCGCTTTGATTTTGAGCAGTTTTCAATCGTGGTTATGGGATTTCCAGCATTAGGTAATTAGACTGTGACAGTATGCATGAGTGAAAAAGAGCACAGCAGTACGTGTTCCACCGGTCAAAACTTTCAGAATATGCTCTGAACCAAAAGATTATCTGAAACGTGTTTAACTGCTTGAATTTTGTACTTATGGTGTTGTAATAGTTCGCAGCAAGTGAACACACTGAGTTCAGATAATCGGAGAAAAAAAAGAAAGAAAACAGTGTTTCACGTTGAAATATAAAACACGCTGAACACAATCAAACTTTCGAATTGTGAAAATTACGTAAGCAACACTCACCCGACCGCAAAGCTCAGTAAAGGTACAGTCAGCGATGGAGCCACAGGTCTTCTCAAGAATCACATCTCTGCCCAGCACAGTGAGCACCCGAGGACCCGTCTCTAAGGAAACACACACACATGAACAACAACTTAAGTGACCCTGATTACCGGTTTTCCTTAGCATCCCTCCAAAGGCTGGTGATTGCTCTCAAGCTAAAATTTTCAAAGGAGCGAACAGAAAAGAAAAACAGTCAATGTATTAGTGAAGGCAGTTGTCAGTGTCTACGAATGAAACTTTTGATTCATTGATGTCTTAAAATGTTAACAAAAGGGGTTATGTATGGAGTTAATAATAAACCGTTGCACTTTTAGGACATAGCTAGAAAACCTATGTGAATAAACAGTAACTCTGAAACTGAGTCTGAATGAGTCTTTCGCTTTCTCCCAAGTAGAAATATGATCCCATGCAACACAAACCAAGCGTATTATTTTCTTCTTTAAGAACCGTTTCAACGAAACTTTCAAACCAACAGCAGGTGGACTGTTACGTGTACAGGTTCTGAAGTTAAAGCCTGTTGTTTACTCAGCTTCTCATAGCCAAACAGTTCCATTGTTGTCCTAGAACTATGAAAAACCACTTCAGAGAATCACACCGGTCTGCTGGGTCACGTGGGCTTTCAATGCAGTTATTGAAAAATGTATGCTTGTTTTGCATTTGAGGGCAGAGAGGGCTTTTGAAAAAGTTGGAGCCATGCTGCATAACCTCCTGACTACACTGGTGGGGAGCTAAGGGGAACAGCTGCCACAGAGTCACAGGTTTCACCATTCTTGTCGGAAAATAGACTTCAGCTACATATAAAATTAAATGTCTCAGTGGGTGAGAGGTCCGACCTGCATTGTCTTGATGAAATAAGCAAGACTTTCGCTGAAAATGGCATTATATGGACAAAATGTTCAGCTCAGGACAGTGTCCTTTATTTATGCTTTAGGAAACTTAACAGAAAAAATGAATAAGCTCAGCTGCATCTCATAACAAAATAACAGTAGTTGGACATGGTAAACAACAACCCTGAATCCTGACAAACCAACTATTTTTCTGCATTTGGTCAGAGTTGCTGACAATGTTTCCAGCCGAGTGTTTTTTTCTTTAAAAATGCTGGAACGGCCCTGGATCGAGGGCGATCCAGCTCTTGTCCTATGTGCATTTAATGGCAACTTTCTACTAAGCAATGTGTCATAAATAACGCACTTCACTCCTTAAGAGTTTAACTGTTAATCTATGCAGCGATTAGCCTTTTTTCATCTCTACTTCTAAAGCCCTCAGCCTCTTTGTGGGCTCTTTGGGATCTCGTATCATGTTTATGACCGGCTACACTTCATGAAACCTGGTGGACGGTTGAAAAAACAGGCAAATAAAGAAACTATAAAGAAAACGAGTTCATAACGACAACTGATGCTTGCTTACATACATCTTCAGTCCAGTTGTAGATAAAAAATAGAATAAATAGGATAATCACCAATAAAAATGTATGATTTTATGGCACACTGTGATGAATGGAGTGGACAGAGTTGAGGCTGAGCTCCCCCTTACCGCTCTTTTGTCTCAGTGCGAGCTCCTCAAATAGTGCGTCCAGGGAGGCCTCTGCACCAGGCTCCCCAGTGCTGCACAGCACACACACACACACACACACACACACACGAAGCACAGAGGAAATAATGGGATATGAAATTAATAATGCTGAAGTGGCCGCATCAAACGGTGGCAGCGAGCAGAGCATGGGTGTGGGGTACTTAGCTTTTCACTCCATCAGCAAAAAACGGGATGTCAGGCTGTAAACACGCATTAGCCCGTGAATGAATGTCAAAATGAGTCTGCGAAGGGTGTGTGTTTGTGTGTGTTTGTGTCCGTTTGTGCGCTTGTGTTTCAGTTCTAGGTAAAAGGGTGTGATGTGCTTTATTTACATACAGAGAAAGGACGAAAGCTCTTGTTTGGCTGTGCGTGTGTTTCGCTCCGTCGGCGTATAAGTAATGAGGAAAATAGCAAACTAGCTTTTAAAGCTCTGCCATTTTGTCATGTTCTATTGATTCCCCTTTTATTCTTTTCATGGCTCTCTCAAGGTAATGCAGGTCTTTATAAAATCTCCCAGCCTGTTTCTGCCCATTTATGCATCTGTTTGCCTTCTCTTTCTGTCCTTTAAAAAAAAAAAGAAAGGGGGCGCTTCTAAAAATGTTGCGCACAAACATTTCTTGTGGGTGAATTCTTGTATGCATGTTAATGTCGGCACCTCTGAGCAGAGCAGGGCTTTGGGCAGCGGTACAGTGTGTGCGTGGCTCACATGTGGTAGAGTTTTCCGGCCGCAGGCCTGTCCAGCCCCCTGTAGTCAATCCCAGAGTCCAGGCAGATGGTGTGGCAGTATTCCTGAGAACACAAACAGAACACAGGACCACAAATGAAGTGTCCGGCAAAACTGTAAAATTCTCTCTGTGCTTGAAAGCATAAATTTGTCTTCAAATTTGGTATTTTAATCAATTAATTTAAAAAGACAGTGAAAATATGAAGTTTTATAATTAGATTTAAAAACAGAAAACCAAATAACAGTGAACAGGATACAACTGCATTTTCAGAGATTTTGTCACTTTTTTTTTTTTTTACTTTCACTAGATGCTGTCTTCAGAACGTGTTGTAATATGTGCTTCCTGAATTCTTTTTTTAAATCACTTTGCGCAAAGTTATGAAGCGATTCATGTGCTATTTCAAACATTTGTTGTGTTTCAGCTGTGATAGTGTTTTTGGACTTGTTTAATATTCAGTGCTTAATGTGGCAGTGTCAGTATGCACAAAAGGGATAACGTCAGCAGTGCTAACTTTAAGTTTTTAGTAAGGCAAAAACTAAACATAACAAGGCATAGCACTGAATCTGAGTCAATTTCTAAAAACCTGGCACACACTTTGCGCCAAATCCCCTCTTATTTTCAATAATTAAAACGGGCAAATAACAGGTCCTGCTGGAGCAGATGAAATGATGAGGCTACACAGGAGGCTGCATGCACCTGAGCATCCTCTGACAGCTAAAAGATTCGGTGTCGCCTCTTCACGGTTTATTGAGCTGAACTATTGTTCTGCAGACATTCAAATGCGTTCCCACTGGGGTGAACCTGTGATGCAGGGTTCAAACTTTTCCAGATAGAGTAAAACGTCAACAGGATTCATGTCAGGGAGTGCAGCACAAACTATAATCATCATCTCCACTATTCTATCAGAGAAAGGAGAGGAACTGCATATCATTCCATGCAAGCCATCAGTGGCTGACTGAGTATTCAACGACAGCTCCATTAAATTATGAAATCAGTGAATTTCTGCCACTGGCCTCCTTAAGCTGCAGGATAATTATTAATCATCACAAAGCAAGGGGACGGAAATACTCTATTCTTCTCTGCTGTCAACTTTTTATCTCCGTGTCCGCTCACACAAACGGGGTTCTCACTCTGAGCCAATTGGTTGAATCAGGCTTAATAACAACCTGACAAACTTACCCTCCCCCACACACAAAAGGGAGGTGTCATTTCATCAACCTTCTGTGACCCCACCAACCGGTAAATAGTCCCTCCGAAAAGAGAGAGAGAGAGAGAGGGGGAGAGAGAGAGAGAGAGAGGGAAACTTGTCACTATTGCAGCCACATCATTAGAATCTCAGTTTGTCTTTTCTCCTGCCATCCTCTCCCCCCTCCCTTTGTGAACAGTGTCTACCTACAGTAAAGACGGCTGACGGAGGTACAAATAAGTGAGGGGAGAAAAAGGAGGAATGGAAACACAATCAGAGATGATGATTCCATTGGTTATTTATAATCAGATGAGGCTGAGGCCTTGCGGGTCATTACTTGATTATTCATCTTGAGGGGATTGTCAAGTTCTCACTCCTTCAAGATTTCCTCCGCCTACACATTGTGGTCTTTCATCCCACCATCCCCACCCCCGTTCATCACCCACTCAGACTCCAATTCTAGTCAGTCTACTTTGCAACTTTCAGACTCATCCTGAAGTGTGCTTTAAAACCTCCCGCACGGCTGAAAAGCGCTGACAATCGTGTGCTGTGTTTAGACGACGGACGGCTGATAGTTTCCGATAACTAACGAGTTATTCTACTTTGTGGCAATCGATGGCAACACATTGGACTTTTGGAAACACAAAATCCTTTTGTGTATTTGTTTTAAAGGCCGAGCCACAGTCACATATATATATCTTTCTTTTTTTTTGTTGATATTTTGCAACCTGAAATACTTTGTGAATCAACAAAAATTAAAACATTTGATGAGTTCATTATAGAATAAAAAGCTGACTAAAGTGATAATTAAATCAGCATTTGGTGAAGCAGACTGTAAGAGAAGCAACAAGAAGGCAGAGAGAACAGCGCTTAAAACGCAGGCACAAGTGTGAGATGACAGACATGAGAATCTGAGCCTCTTTAGAAGAAAGTCATCCTAACACATGTAGCTCCAATCACGTCATTGTCCGAGCTGTCTGCTGCTCTCTCTGGACAGCCGTTTAGCATAAAAACAGAGTGGCTTTTTCTCTCCTTCTGTTGCCTCTGCTCCCCTCTGTGCCCGCTCCCTCACCGACATATCTCTCTTGTCTTTTACTCCTCAGAAAGTTGCTTTTGAGTTTTTCAAAGAGTGCGGTGCCATTGAGCTCTAACAAAAGCCAAGGATAGCTGACTACTGGGCCCTGATGAGGTCCACTCCCTCATTACCCGCCAGCAGAAAACATTTGATGCTTTTTTTTTGTTTGGTCTGGAGAATTGACCAGGCCTCAAAGAAAATGCAGGGTGGGAAGGCTGAAAAAGAGACGGAGGGAGGGAGAGAGAGGGCGAACGGGGGGAAGAGGGGAAAGGTTGTCCTTCATTCAGCCGTGTGTGTCTTGCAGCACTGTGTGGAGGGACAGAAGAAGAGTGAGAAGGGGCAGGGATAGAGGGGTCGAGAGAGGGAGAGACGGGGCAGAAAAGAGGGAAAGCTTAAAACGCTGCCTTTATGCTGGCAAGTTCTGGACGACTCTTCTGACATCAAAGTGTTTTCACTAACTGGGGCGCTGATGTGTGAGTGTGTGTGAGTGAGTGAGCTGGGGGTGTATCTGGTGATTTTATTCATTCATCAGCAGTCCGGGGTGGTGGGGGGGGGGGGGTGCGTGACAATGTGAACACCCTAATTACACCTAATGATCTATTCCCTTAAAGTGTGACCGCCTTGGGCCGGCGGTGGATTGTTCAGCGGGGTCGTTCTCACAACCTCCCCCTGCCTCTGCTGCTCCTCTTGGGGAAACATCCTGCTGGACCCCCCACCATCGACTCCTCTTGAGTTTAGTTGGGCCAAAAATGAACCAAACTTAGAGTCCTTGTGGGCTGTGGTACCTTCACCTGGCCAACAGAGGCTCCAAGTGTTGGTAGAAAAAATACAGAAACGTTAGAAACAGGTTCTGTGTTGTCGAGATCATGGTGAATAAAAAGAGAGTTGAAACATTTGATACAACGGGTTTGAGAATGGAATGAACAGAATGATCACTTTTTGGGTATTAAAAGCTTCATATGAGTGAAATATACTGTATAGGAGGATATATGTTTTGGATTTAATTCACATAGTTTGCTTAATGGAAAACAAATTATTTCTGGTGGAAAAAATACTCGGTTTAAATTGTACATGGACCCAAGTGAGGAGGGCGTCAGTCAATGAAAAAGTCCTCAGACAGCATAAACAGTGTGTAAACATCAAAACAGCCCTGAGTGGGCATGCTTGATCATACATCTATGAAAAGAATGATAGTAAAACAGCACAAACTGACCGAGGTACCTGGATCACAGAAAAGAAGAAAAAAAAAGGGACCTAGATTAATTCCTCATGCGTTGAAAGAAAAGCAATTAATTTGTGTTTTGGAAATCGTTCAGCTTTTAAAAGAGAAACACACTGATGTGAAAGAGGTGAGCTTTGCTCTCAAAGAAAACAGATAGCAATGCTGTCCTGCCATTAAATGTTCTGGAAGACAATGGCTGTCATCAAATATCGAAAACCTTTTGATTTGAGCTTTTCTGCACTTCACTGACAGTCTTTCTCACCAAGGTCTTCACTGGAGGACCACATCCATCTCGCTCTCTCACATAATGCCTTTCTCAAGCATTATGTTGTTTCTCTTCTTTTTAATAAATAGATTTTCTTCTGTCATCATCAACTGCGCAGCACACTGCAATTATCAACAACGACAACAAAAAAGGAGAAGGAGAGATGATCAAAAGAAGGGTTAAAAAGAGCAGGAAACCAAAGACACTCCAAGTTGCCTCAGGGTTGTTGTCATGTTTTTTCTCCCCTCTGCAGCTTTTTGTGCAACTGCAATCGAATAAGAGGAGGGAAAATAAAGTCACTATTCTGCTACCAAAATACAGAGACCTGACCTTGTGCGAGTAAAGCTAGCGAGCAGAAGAGGATGGAGATGGAATAAAGAGCGGGGACAGAGGAGTGGAGAGATGGGCAATGAAAAGTGGAGTGGAGAGGGAGGACAGCACATGAGAGAAAGAGTGTCTTAGTTACAATACTGGCAACGTCTATAAAAAAAAAAAGCCCTCAAACCCTGTATTTTACCGAACTTTGAGCTTTGCCATGGCTGCAAAGAAAAAGAAACCTTAACAGTTCAACAGACTCCCGGATAACATCTAAATGGAGGCAAAAAAAGGACAAGACACTAAAAAGTGAAAAAGCTCAGGATAGTTAGTACTGAGTTAGTTTTTGCTCTCTGTGTTTGGCAAGTGAATCTACTTAAAATCAGTCTCGAACTACTGATTTTCTCATCTTAAAGATTAGGAAACTGGATGTTTGTGGAGGGAGGGGCTCTGTGAACAAAGGGGTCCCAACCTGTCAGAAGTCAACAGTTAAATAAAGACATCAGCTCAGGCGGACAGAGGTGGTGGATTAACCTTTACCACCACAGCCCAGGTAATAAGCAGGGGGAGGTCAGAGGTTATTTTTATACGTGTTGACACCCTCATTCTCTTCTGCTCTCACTATAGAAACTCTCTGGCACGCACATGCAAGACCAACCTGCATCCGAGACTGCTGCACCCTGCAAGATTAATTCAATCTATTAAGGGTCAGCTAGTTGGAAATGTCACCTCTATAGAGCACGCTTTAACTCAGCAGAGCAGGCTGCCATAGAGAACACTGTGCACCCTCTATAAAAATCCCCGACCCTGAAAACCAGATGGCCTCACAAAGAGGAACATGGTACCCTGAAAGAAAGGAGGTAGTACGGGGCAGAGAATGACAACAGGCATTCAGGACCTTGATGAGGGGTGGATTAGAGAGGGCAAAGGTGCTGCTGGGGTGGTGGGTGGGAAGCAGGGTAGCTCCAAAACCTCCACAAACGTGAAGCATTAGCATTTGTAGAAATCTGATTTTGCTTTACAAAGTGTAGCACAATCTGTATTATTTTATAATTATCTTAACGTTATCAGACATTTAATATTCAGTGAACACATTTTTGTGTTGAGAGCCAGACTGATTGAGTTCTGAGGCAAAAACTGAATGAAAATGTTACCAACTCTCTCCTGATTATGCTAAGATGTCATGCTAGATTCAACCATTTTAGGCAAAAAACAAAACAAGAAAAAAAAAAAATGAAAATCCAAAAATCAATGGCCATCCAATATTGTTCTGTGAAAAGGCCAACAGGGGGCGACTCGTGTGACACAGAGGGGAACAGCTCCTACTCTGTGACTTCTGGAAACATTAGTTGGTCTATATTGCTGGCATCAAGTTTTTTCACAAAGCATGTTTTTTTTATTTTTCTTATACCATGATTCAGATAAAAAAAATATGAAAAGCAGGGTATGATTTGAACAGTTCTCAGGGACACCCCTCATTCTCTTTTGACAAACGTAAAAACAGTCCACATCTAAATATTTAGAATATCAGTGTCTAAATGTATGGGACTTTGTACTGAATACTTTTATATTCTCTCCACTTTCTCACTTTTATGCATGAGTGAATTTTTAGGTGTAACAACTCAGACACGATGAGCATCACATTGTCAGGTATGAAGCTAGTGTTTGAGGAGCAGCATAATGATTGAGCCCCATGTTTGAAAACCGTTTTTCTCTATCGATGCTCCCACTTTCATCTAGTTAAGCGGCCTTAGAGAAAAAACATTTTAAACCAAATACCAATAAAGGTGAAAGAATGCTTCCCTCCTCTGTTGCAAAATGCTCAACAACAAATTATTATGCAATTATTTATGATCATGATCACTCCAAACACATCAATGATCATCTGAGATGCAGGTGGGATAATGGTGCTACCTGCTTAAATTGCAAAGTAGATTTTTTGCTAGAAATGGCGAACCACTGCATTGCTCCTCCGCTTTCCTTTCGCCCTCCCCACACCCCCTACTTTTGAAATGCAAGCAGTCTGAGTCAGTCCGTTCGTCCACCCCTACGCTCAGCCTCGCTCTCCCCATCTCTCCCCACCTTTCAATGTGCCCTGGTATGATCAAAGACGGCTTTGTGACACTTTGCGAGGCATCTGGAAAGCAGAAAACATCAAACCGCAAAAGAGCAACTCGCAAAAGAACCTACACAGAGAGGGGTCGAGGCGCATACGCAAGCGCGTGCATGGAGGCGTGTGTGATAAACAAATGAATTAAATTAGCAAGACGAGTGAGAGGGATGACTTTGTCTCTACCTTCAGCATGTCGATGAAAGGTAGGAAGGTGTCCCTCTGAAGTCCATTTTTGTACAGATCTGAAAGAGGAAGGGAGGGCCTGTATTAGAGCTGCTGTTTAGCCTCCTAATAATGTCATTCCCCTGCCACAGATTGGCAGATAAAGTGGCTATTGATGAACTGAAGGATGGGTGGGGAGGCGCGACAAAAGGACTGGGGAACCAGGGGAGAAAAATGGATTTCTGCACCGGCAGCGGCAGCAACATAAAATTCATTACATTCCCAAACAATAGTGGTGAGAGAAAGGACTGTCGCCTTTTCAGCGCGGACAATGTCCACAGCGGCTCGCTGAATAGAGGTTTCAATTAGCTCGGCTGGAACAAATTACATCTGAAGTAGCATCCCTGATAGACAGATAAAACAGATAGGGAATCACACACAAACAAAGACAAACACACACACACACACACACACACACACACACACACACACACAGTGAGGCTTCACAAATGCAAACAAATGTTGATGTCCAGGCTTCAGCTGAGGATCTGCAAATAAATAAACCACACTTTATCACTCCTCAACTGTAATGAGGTGAATGAGAAATGGCTTATGTGAAGGCTAAAGTGAATGGAAATCAATATTTTGGGAGGCAAATTTGTCTGCTTCATTATAAGGGGAGTTAAAACAAGTTCCTCTGTATCGATAAATTACGCATCATGTCAGAACTGGCGGCTTTAAAGAAGGCTTTCCCGAAATAGTAAACTATTTAAGGAAAGGACCACATGTATCCTCTGAAAAGGAAGTGGATTAAATGCAAGGGCCCATATGCGTTTGATATGAAATGTAGAGTTTACGTCCCCTTTTATTATCCTAGAAGACACACAAGTAATAAAACAGTCGATGACAGTTAGTCGCTCACACGATAACGTTAACTGCATATTCTCACGTGAGATAGTGGGGCTCCGATGCACGCCTTTTATCCCCATAATGCTCCACAATCACATTAAACTCCATCAACAGTGAAAAAAACTAAACAAAACAGTCAGGGCATAAAAAAAAACAACCAAAAAAACCTATCTCTAAATTTTCCCTTTAGACACATCCAAGCCTTTTTGATACCTGCATCTCCACATCAATAAAGAAGGGAAATGTATGCCTTTCATACCCAGTTGTCTCTTATGGCTTTTAGTGTTCCATTAACCTTGTAATTAATACCAAGTAGGCTCTCTATCGAGTTTGCCTGGTTTGGCGCTTTGTTCTTAATAGCTTGTAAATATCAGAGACACACGTCTTTGTCTACGAGAGCCATCTTCCTGCCATCCACTTCACTTAAGGCTTTGAGACATCAACATCTTCCCCGAGAAAGCGAGGCGTCAGAAAGCGCATCGTGCATTTATCTCCACCTTGATCACCGCCTTACTAATTCTTTCTCCATCCTGGCTCCCCTGGCAGTAAATGTAACATCAAAGCCGGTTAAAACACTGCAAAGCGGTGAGGTGAATCAACTGCTTCCCCGTTTTCATGCGATTCATTTTTGTTGTAAGGGGTCACTTGGTTTACTCCTACAACAACTGATTTATTCTGTGGAAATTTGCTCACAGAGGCAAAAGTTCCACAACTATTTCTTGTAAACTGGAAATGTTGCTGTACTTTTGGGTAAACCTGTTAGGTCAAAGCAGTGACAAGAAGTATTTTGATGTGAGCTTTGTGCTCTAAAGCCTTCTTGGCAGCTTTCTGCAACTTTTATGGATGAAATCAGAGGGAAAACTTGACGGATGTTGTTTCAAATTACTACAGATCAGCTCTGACTCACATATCATGTCATCACATGAAGACCAGAGACGGTCTCAGAGAAATTCAAAATCAATTCAAAACAAAGCATTTTAGTCTAAGTGAACAGAGTTTGCTGCAAAGTGAGGAAAACTGGAGGGCGAACATGAAGGAAAGAGCTTTTTTCCCCTGCAGGATTCTGTTTGTTGATCTAAACTCTTGTTGGTCTTGCGCTTATAAGTTAGCTGACACTGCTTTTTAATAGAATAATATCATCAGAATGTGACCCTTACAAAGCTGGTGCTGAATTTTAAACTAAACTAAAGATTTGCAATCTGGTTTATGGGAACCTATGGACTACGTTTTTATTTCAAAGAAAGAATTCAAGTTTATAGATGCTGACTTGAACTAAGCGACCCTACTATTACCAATACCAGTAATCAATACCAACAAACACAAAACAAAGTATGGGTACTGGTCATACCGTCGGGGGGTCTGTTGGAAGTGGCCACCACCACCACTCCGGCCTTAAACATCGTCTCAAACAGCTGCTTCAGGATCATGGCATCAGCAATGTCGGTCACCTGATTGAAGAGAACCAAAAAATTAGGAGAACCACATTCAAGCACTGCATAATCTACCTTTTGTTGTCACATGTGTGCATGGCTAAGGTCAATCAAGCCATCAACACTCCATGTTGATTAGTCTCATTCAGGTGTGCTCACCGGGCCCCTTTTGTCTGGTCATTGCCATTCACACTCCATCTATACACACGTAAACACCCAAACACCTTGAATTGACTGCAAATGGTCACAAAGCTGCTTTTTATTTGCCGAAGACAAGCAGCCGAGACGAGGGAGCAGATCTGCACCGATCCACTGAGCAGAAGTGGGAATGGGTGTGGGCACAGGAACAAGGACAAGGAAAAGTAGAACGAACAAAGAGCAATGCCAGTCAGTGCAGGGGTCACCATAGCAGACAAAGATTCTATCAAGCAAGGCCCGATAAAGGGAAAATAAAGCTGCATGTGTGCGTTGTCTGAACTTCACACAAGGCCACACAAAGTTACAATACATAAATCCCATTCAACTAGCTGCTGCCTTTTTCATCTACATAATTTCCATGAGTCCACAATGAACAAAGGTCAATGAAAACACTGACGCAAGGACGTTTATGAGTCGCTGGCTGTTAAATGAAGAGCTCTGACCTTTCTATTAGTAATCCAGTGCTCTCACTTTTGTTCTTATTCTCTCATCTCCCCCTCTTCTACCTATGTTGTTCTTTTGAACATTCATAAAGGGAGAAATCATGTTACCCTACGATGAGCAGCAGTAGTCAAAGCGGCATGTATTAAGCACACCTGATTAAGCATGACTGACTGAAGAGAGTTGGGATCTAAATAAAATAAATCATTTTGCACCAGTTGTCATTAATATTTTGCTAAAAACTAAATGAACAGATACTCTGAAATGTAATATCCCTGTAAGATTTTCATGTTTAATTAGAGTAGGATAGCCGTGATAAAAGGCTTCTTCGGGGGGTCTGGAAATCTTTCTTGTGGTGGAAAGGATTCAAACAGCTACGTGTGTCCGACTTGTAAGCCACACAGCCAAAGCTGGCCGATCATATGTTTCAGCTCTTCATTTCTGTGGCTACTCAGGTTCGAGGAGTCTGACACAAAGCAGTTAACTCAAACTAAATTAGAGTATATTTTTTAAATAAAAGAAAAAAGAACATGACCTTATATCCAAAAGGAAAAACTTGTAAAAGATTAACAAAAGTAAGGTCAAGTCTCTCTAAATGGGAAAACTGGAAAACTGCATAAGGAATATTCCCCTTGATTCATTGAAAGACATAATGTTTATCTACTTTTCAGAGGAAAGTAGATAAAAGTAGATAAACATTATCTACTGCAATATATTTTAGTGTAAAATCATAAACCGCTTCTGGTTAGCTTGAATAACTGCAAAAAAGTAGATGTAAAGGGCTGTACTGGAAGTCAATTTCTCCCTGGAGATCAATAAAGTATATTCAATTAAATTCAATTCAATAAAGAACAAAGTGTTCAAGCCCTCCACAATAAATTCCTAAATTTCAACATTAATCCAATAAAGCATTTCTATGGAACTCCAAACGTTGACAAGTTCTGCTCTGTGTTACTTTCTGCAAAAATGTAAATACATTTTGTAAGTCAAGAAGTAACCATTTCATTCACTTAATCTCTGTCAAAACAGGTGAGTGACACATCCTCCTATAAAAAGCTCCACTCTGCATAACAACATCATGCTAATATGAAGTGACTCCTGAGAAACGATTTGATCTGTAAGCCCCGTCCTTTAAGCTGCATCCTGGCCTGCAGCATGACAAACAGGTGTGCGCTCCACATCCCTCTCATCCCGTTCCCTTTTGCCCACTTTCGGTTCCTAACAGGCACTTCTCGTGGCCATACCCACAGCATATGCTTCCTTTCATACTCTGGAGAGTCTTCTGCTTTTGCATATTAGCCCCACTGCCCTTGCCAATACTTGATTAACATTTGTGTTAAAGCCTTGATTTCACTGAGAAGAGGTGGCTAAGGGCATCAAATTAGAGTGTGTGCGTGTGCGAGAGTGATTTAGTGCGCGTACGTAATGAGAATCAACAGAAAGCCAAGGCTCTGCGTCCCTCTGAAGGGGGCCCCGCGTTTCCTGCCACCACAGGATTTTATTTTCATTTCAAAAGAATCATTTAAAAATGACCTTTTATACAGCATGGATTTGTTTATTCATGTGCCCTCAACATGGGCATAGTATGAGGGGCAATATTGATTGCTGGCTGAGCAGGGGGAGAGGCAAAGAGAATGGGTACCCACAGAATGAGAAAGGTGGAGGGGCCTGATGTAGCACTTGTGGAGCACAAAAATAATGGCGCAATCTCTGTCAGCTATTGCCGATATTTAAATGAGCATCCAATTACTCGGGCGTCTGTCAGTTTATAGCGAGGCACACGGGTGCCAAATTAAACCCCTTTTGATGTTACACCTCTTTATGTACACAACCTATGAGTAATTTCACAGGAGGCTTACAGTGACTGAGGCCCTGAGACAATGATGCTCAAGCGTTTTCTTCTCACTCCTCTTCTTCGCTTCTCACTCTCTTCCCATCTTTCCATCTCGGACCTCTCAATGGCGAGTATTCATTAGGGGGAACCGAGTAGAGGTCGTAAAAGGAAGGAGGGGGGGCTACAAATTACTGATAATGGCATGGCGCTAATGAAGAGAATGGAGAAATGTCATTAGCATTTAAGAGGATAAGATCCATCTGACCCGCCGCCGCCAGTCGCTTTCTAGCTCCACTCACTTAAGGAAGCAGAAGAGTGCGACTGATACCCAGAGCCTCATTTGCATGGCTGAGTGGAGGAGGATGCTGATTGGTATAGACCCCTGCAACCCCCCCCCCCCCAGCCCAACTCTTCCAACCTCGCAACCTCTTGTTTATGCATCACAAACAGCCCGCACATGTCTGCTTGTTTCCCCTCCATTCACCGGTAGCAACAGTCGACCAGCGAAAACAGCCGAGCCCGCGACGCCAAACAAAACAAATCAATGAGAATGCACACACACACACACACACACACACAGCGCGGCAGTTTAAAATGTGAAAGACGGGCAGATGAAAGAAGCGGCTCTTGATCCGTGCAGATGCATGGAGAGTTATTAGAAAGAGCCCCTGCACCTTCGCTGACCTCTGACCCGCTGGCATTAACTGTAATGATATCACTGAGATGAGCAACATTGTGCTGCTAACAGATGTGCTTGGCTCGCTAATGAAAAACACAGAAACACGTGTCCTTCTATACAGCATGAATGACTAACCACCTTACAGAGAATAGAGAGGGACTTCAGTGGAGGCTCTCTCCTTTGACACCCAAGGATAGCATAATGACAATTTCTGCATCACTAATGACAGACAACGCTCTTCAGTGATGTGGATCCAGCGGAAAAAATATAAGTAGGAGATGGCTTAGTTGTAACTTTTCTAGAGTAAGACAGCAGTGAAAGCAGATGAACAAGGAAAAAAAAAAGTTGACTCAGTTTTAAGGCATGGGCAGTGAAACTATTACACTATAACACATGTCACACAGGAGTATTAGGACCACATGTGCACAACCATGACACATTTCACTATGATACAATTGCTATGTTAAAAGGGAGCCACTAGGTGTCCCCAGTTCTACTTTTTTGTCAAAACTACAAACAGAGTTTATGCCCGCAGAAATCTGGCTCAGATGGTCTGTTGACTGTATCGTAATCACATTAAACTCTAGACTAAATAAAGTGTGTCCCTTTTCCTGGTCTTTCAAGTAAGAGGGATACCTATCAAAAATGAGTTGAAGTATAACATTAATTTATCTATTTAAATTTAAAATCTCTGATGTATGAGTTATACTAACACTCTGTCTGGCTTCATGCTGGACTGAAATATCTTTTAGATCTGCGGGCGAGTTGTCATTAAACCACAGGAGGAGCAACATGTGTCTCGATGAGGCATGCAGAAAGTCAGAGACATGGCCACCTTTGTCTATCAGGACACTGTTGGAAATGTTAAGCCAGAAAATGGATTGTTTTAAGAAACATTTTGACATCATTCAAGCTAAATATAATAATGCATTATGAGATATTGGTCTTTTGTTCCCTGATTCACAAACTTATTCAAACAGCACTTTACAAAAATCCCACCTTATTTAGACCATGTACACCCCAGCTTATCTGGTTAGAGAAGGACTTAGTGAATATGTATCCCTCCAACTAATACATATATTTCTTATCAAAACTATATATTACTATGATGTTAAGTTTACTTATATTAATAATATGGATATATAGATGTATATTGAAAAAAAAAGTACTATAAAAGATGACTGATTAATTTGATGCTGATTTCTAAACATGTCTTAAGAATTAAAAACACACACATAGTGTTACAGTGTACTTGCTCACCTGAAACTCATCAAAACACAAGAGGCAGGTCTCCTTGCTAATCTCCATGGCAACCGGTGATATAGGGTCATAGGTGAACATTTTCCCTAGCCTCCGTTTTGGCAGGCTTTGTTTCCTCCGATGGATCCCTTGAAGCAGCACACAAACGTCAGGCACATCTTAAAGCACACCTGCAAAGCCACTGAGAATAATGCAGTAATTTCACCTGTATGCATAATGGCAGACAATTAGCAGGGGACAAACACAGGGATAAATATAGGATTGCCAGAGGTTAAGGAGTCAAACAAAAAAGTTAACCCACAAAGTCACGATAGCCGGTCTTTGTGGCGAAGCAAAGGACGACGCAACTCACTTTTGTGAATGTCCAACATGAAGCCATTGAAGTGGACTCTCTTTTTACAGCTGTTTTCCACATGGGAGTGAAAAAGGTCCATGAGCATGGTCTTCCCTGTGCCTGAAAGAGAAGGGGGGGGGGGGGGGGGGCATAGGAAACTTTTCCTGAAAGAAGATGCCTTTTAGAAATGTTGATGTATATCAAAAGCCGTAGAGATATTCCTCTCTACGTAATGAAAAATCTGATCCAGAGTCAACCTTACCTACATCGCCATATATGTAAAAGCCTTTGGGTGGTGGTGGTGGTGGAGGAGGAATGGGTTCCTAGTTTGGGATGAAAAAGAAAACAAAAATTAGGTGTATCTTCTATCAAAATGAATTCCTAATGAAAAACAAAAATAAATCTTTATAGTTTGATACCTACATAACCTTCTTTATATTCATTACAATCTGTGAGTGCGTCATAATTTCATAAACTAAGTATACTAAGGCATTAAGCCACCAATACAGTGTGAGGTTTCACGTTCTCCAGACAAACCCACTGCAGGGGAGGAAGACAAAGGGGATCTAATCAACAAGACAAGCCAGGGTTCCCACGAAAGAAAAGCATCATCAGAGGAACAATGGGGGGATTTGTCAGACAAAACGGAGAGGACTGGATGAGGCTCCATACGAGATGGAGTGGACTTTTCTGTGCAGTCTGTTTAGCGCTGCTAATTGTGATACGGTACTGTTGCATTGAGGTTCTGCTGGAAGTCATTGTGCTGCCTGCCTCCTATTATCAAAAGGTCCTTGCTTTAAAAAAAAAAATCTTCTGTGTGACCAAGCTGAGAATGCAGAGTAAAGCCAAATATCACTCAAGAGGACCTGGGCCATGTAAATGCATGTGTCATCAGTTTCAACACAGTTATAATTAAAAGTGTATTTATCTACAGATGGGTAAATTATAGATCTTTTTAATGCCGGTTTTTTTAGAGCAATGTGGATGAGCCTCTCTGTGACCGTGCAACAGCAAATGGCTTTAGAATTAAATTCCTCACTAAACAGAAGGGTTTGTCCTCTTAATATTTAATCTAGTAACTATTTCATGAGAATGGCACTCAGTGTCCGCGTGCACTTGGTCTGTCCTGCACAAGGGGCACTTGACTCTGGAAAAACGTTGAAAATGGTAGATTGAAAACTGAATTAAAAAACAAGAACTTCTTAGCCATCCCCTCCCTGCTCTCCCCATGTCCTCCTCCCCCTGTTCTCCCCCTCTACCCCCCCACCTACTGCCTCTGTTGATCTGAATTTCTGAATGCGGAGTGCTGGAAGAGCAACAAGCCTTTCCTGTCTGCACTGGCACAACAGCATGTGACTTCTTCCTGACTTCCCAAGCTGCCCTATGGCAGGGTGGGGGAAATTGTCAGTGGTGGCTGGTCATTTTGCCACGGCAGAGTGGAGAAGGACAAGGCTGTCCCTCAGCTACTTTGTCTAGCTGAGCTCGGCGGCCCTGTCTGCCTTCCTGGTGGTGGATACAGGCTGGCACATGAGTGGAAAGTTCAAATTCGGGACAATGCTCCTATTGGCTTTTAAATGACTTGAGAAAAAAAAAAGCCGCCTTTGAACATGTTTATCTGGGAAAAAAGATGTCATATTTAATTGTAGCATGATTAGTGAAGTAATTGTGGGTATCTGAGTTGAGTTTGACCTGAACAACTGTCCTGCTGGAGGCCTCCTGTGCACAGGAGGACCATGTGAGGCAGGTCTGACTTAAACATGGTGGCTCTCACTGAACAATAGCCCATTGTCAGCCAACCATCCGCAAAACCACGCCACATTGGGTCAATATTAAGTCAAGTGTACTCTCCTCACAGACTTGATCAGTTAGCGAGGACAATGGCGGCACTTTCACAGTGAGAACAGACACCAAATGACAGTGGTATGACCTGATTTCAACTAGAATAATTGCGTAAGTACTCCAGTCGGTGTGTATGTGTGAGAGACAGAGCAAGAAATAAGGTGAAAAAGGAGAGGGGTGGGTGTTGTGGTCGGCGGCGATGTTGATAGCCTAACACCAAAGCATTTGTCAGAGTCCCAAATCAAAAGCAAAATGACAAGAATGGTCCAAACAAAAGGGATCCCCTCATTACTGCATGGGGACGGTGAGAGAGCGAGAGGGGTGCCGGGCGAGCTCAGCGGGAGGTCTGCCCTGCTGCCTTCCAAAATCTTTGCCTAACCCTATGTGTCTGTGCCAGCCAACCAAGAAGAAAAAAAAAAACCTCCCACCACCGAAAATGAGACAGTCAGCTCCCCTGACCTAAAAACAACAACAGCCCGCTGCATTATGCTGCTCCATAACTTACATGCACAATACACTTCCCAGACCCCTACCCTCCCTTTGACCTGAGCCCCACGGCCGTCACTGAAGCAACAGAAGCACCGGGCAGTTGTCTCTGCACAGTCGACCCACATGTTAGATGTCAGCGGGGCTTCATTCCAGAGGCCAAAATGCAAAATTCTATTCACAAATCCATGCAGGTTTTTAAACTGCAAAAATCCTTGAAATGTTTCAATGACATTGTACTTAAGTGTCTGAATTCTCAGATAAGCACACACTCCCCAAAAAGATGGACAAGTGACTGATGGCATGCTGTCTAACTATAAAAAAAATAGCCAGTTTTAGCTATTAACTCATTATCCATCTATTCATTAGTTTGAACTGTTTTACCTTTGAGGTTAACAGGTTGCTGCTACTAATCCTGTGACCACTTTGCAATCCACAAATGCAGGAGCCATGAGTGTTTGATCATACATGCAGCAATAGCCATCAAGTAAATGACAAATTCTTTCTCTCATATGACTCATAGCTGAACAGTAAATAGGGGCATGGGTTTTTATTTATTCTGAAGCACTTTTGAAAGAAATGCACAGGACAGGATCTAAATATATCACGAGACCGGTTACTACTGGTAGGGTTGTAAGTATTTGCTTAATTTGATCAATTAGACGATTTATGAATCGGAAATTATGTAAATCAAAAGGATTAGAACAACTCAAACATAAGGTTGAAATATTTTGGGCCCATTATATTTAGATAAATCTGTATGAGTGCATGTTTGGAATGATATGAACCAGACTCCTAATATGATACATGATAGCAGTATACCTCTTCAGCTGGTGAAATGCAGGATTTCTCATCATGCCCACGACTACTGTCCACCTTCGACCGATTCGTGGGTGGGCTCAGGTAGATGTTGTTACTGTAGGTCTTCAGTGTGTGCTGCAGCCCAGCCAGTCGCTGGATGACTTGTCTCTGCTGGACATCTGTCTTAAGGGAGCCACACTGGACCAGGCGATCAAAGTGACCCACGGCGTCCCCGTAACGCTGGACGTCAGGAGAAGAGTCAGAGGAGCAGGCTGAAGTAGACGAGCTGAATGCCCTCCACCTCCAGTTACCTTAAAAAACACACCAGTTTTAATCAACACTGTTCACATGGTAGACAGTGAAAAAGGATTATGAGAGATACAGAGAGAACCGACATTGTGCTCTTAGTAACCAGCAGTTACAAAAGATGTATTACCCAAGATAGGTTGTCGAGGGGTTTTAAAGAAGGGAGGGATATTTGCTGCGGACTAATGCACGTTTTTGGCGGAGGGACACGTACCTGAGGCGGCGCAGCTGTTTGACAGGAGGCAGGATTTCCAAACACTTGCTGTTGTGCCTTTTAACAAAAAGACCTGCGCGAATCTGACAGCTGGAACGACCGTGTAGGTCGCCATGATGATTCAAAACGCTGAAACTTTATTGAGACGTGCAACGTGCAGCAGTTTCGCTACCATACAAAGGCTGACCCCAGAGTTGAAATGTCCTTCTAGCACATGTTTTAAATCGTTTCATTTATTTTAAGATGTACCATACATTTTTGGTCATTGCAGCATACTGTAACAAAAACAAGACTCAAAATTGTACTGTGTTGAGCTGCCATACTAGATGTCATGATTGAAATAACACAGCATACTATTTATTTGTAACTTAATGCCTGGTGTGGTGTGATTTTATATTGATAAAACAAAACCCTTAATTTAGAACTGATGAAAACGACAACATACCTGAACACAGTTTTAGGATTATGAATTTGATAGATACAGATTATTGACAAAAAATGTTTGTATCAATGTCAGTTATTTAATTCTTAGTTAGTGTATCCAACGTGCCCGTTGGCGGGTTGTAAACAAATGACTGAGTGCCGTCAGCTGAATCTCAGCTGATCGGAAGTGCATCCCGATCAGCTTTCAAACCAGCAACCGAGAAACAGAACAATAACGGATGTGGAGATTCATATCTTCAACATAAAAGTATTTCTTAGAAACTCTGGGTCCAACAACGATAACTGCCAGTGAAAATGTACAAGCAGAAACCCAACCATTATTAGCTGCATAGTTTAGAAGTAGGAATTATGATATTCTCAGCAAACATTGCTATAAAAAAGAAGAAAACACTTTCCAAATATTTTATTATGAAATGCATAAGCGGAACACATGTCTTCATATTCTAGCTAGCTTAATTCCATCCAAAGCCGCTGGAAGGACAGGAAGAAATGGCTGATGCCATGGCTGATGTCATAGCTGATACAAGACGGCTCTTCACCAAACCTCAAAACTTAAATGACGCGTATGGACCCCCAAGTAACTTTCTCGAGATTGATGTGGCCAACCCTGAGACCGTCGGGGTTGGCAGAGGGAGATATACCACGTATGAAGTCAGACTGAAGGTGAGCCTGCAGGAACAAGTGCTAGTGACGTTAGCTTGTAGCTAGCTACTTGAACTGGCTAACCATCCTTTTCCTGGAAAAAGAAAGTTAGAAGTTGTTGACATGGGTATTGTCACCGACAGGGAGACGCACATTTCATTAACAAATAGCTACCCTGTCGTCTTAACGACTTAAAACTGTGAGGGCTTCATATCAAACAAGTGGACAAACGCCGTGCAGCTACAGTTATGTGGCTAACTGTGACTGGCTATCATATCTTAATCTATCATGTTAGCTCAAATGAGCTACTAATGGTCAAGCTAGTCATCAATTTTCCATGAAAATCTATTCAAAGCAATGACAACGGAGAGTAAGGAAACCCTAAACGGTGGCATGAAGTCTGTTGCCATCGTCCTGTGAGGCAGGGGGATTTGTTATCATTAGCTATTTCCGGTAGGGTTAAGATTCACCTAACCATGTCAAGTAACAAACCAGGGATATGGAACATCTGTATGCGCATTATGAATAATAAAACAATAGTCTCTTCAGAATAATTGTGGCTTTCCTGAGCAAATCTCCTGCCACACCCCATTGTCTCACTGCAATGCTAAGATAAGTGCACCTGACCTGACAGTTGGCCCTTATGACCAGAAGCTTATCTGTGTCCTACAACAGTTACAATACTACTGAGCTGAGTAGCTTTAACCAATTAAGGAACATCTTTATTGCAACCAAAGTGATGATGTTGGAGAATGACAGCCATAAGATTGCAGCATAAACACATCAAACCAGATTTTTTTTTTTTAATATTGTAGATTTATTTAAAAAATGTAAACCAGCTGTGAAAATTATGTCAGCTTCAAAATGCTTGACATCAAACATTCAGTGTATAGAGATGACTTACTGCTAAGTGAGATTGGTTGACTAACATTGAACTATTTTTTCTGCTTTTTCTCCATTTGTAATCAGAGTACATTGGTGTGTTACATGCCTGAGGGGAGGGGTAAAGAAGAACATGATTTATTGAGTCAGCTTCTCTGAGCGGTTGACAGGATGTAGCATGTTATTTGGACCTCCTCTATTTTTCCTCCACAGGACACATTTCCTTCCTCCAGTCCAGTTCCATTGAAAACAGGCAGACATGAGTTTGTCATCTAGTGGTTGCACAACTGGTGGTTGTACGTTCAAAAATCCAACACATTCACAAATGTGTGGTGTGTTTGCCTCAGACCTTTTTGGCATAAAATTAACTGTTTGCGCTGTTAACATTTTGTTTAGTTTTATTTGGAGAATTCTGCATGTTAAATCAGTGTCAGGTCTGCCAGTAAGAGGATTGCTCCTAATTTGCTGTTAAACGTAGCTGGAAAATCCATGAGGTCAGCCGTTTAGTGTGGTGTACAACATTACCAGCACCACTATCACAATAAAGTTCTCAGTAACCCAAATGAGTTTACAATAAACACAGACTGATTCTTTACCATTTGTTTCCCTTTTCTAATATTTACTCCTGTATGGATGTAGATGAGACATCCTAATTAACAGTTTTGCGTAGACTTTGCATTTGGTTCAGTGCTGTTTGTTTTTCTTAATGCTCACAATGCCAGGAGACCCTGTAGGGGTCCGTATAGTAACAGGTGACTTAATTAGATATCCAAAGTTTGTTAGATATTTATTCAATCATTTCTATTACCACAGTTTAGTTTCAACCCAGCAAACTCCACGAATACATCAAAAGTGCATGATCTGCTTTTAAGCAAAGGAAACGGCTGTAGGGAATTATTAATCTTCATCTGCTATTACTAATGTCAACAATGAAATGTTAATGTTAATTATCTATTGTTTAAGTGGTTTATATCGGGATTATCAAAAATGAAAGCTTTTATTCGCTTGGTATGCTCAGCATTATAGATAATTGGGTTAAGTTCAGAATAAAGACGAGCCGTTAGCACTTTGTAAATGCTTCTCCATATTTCTGAAGGACAATCATTTAATCATATCTGTCGCTATACTCAGTTTTATATTTAAAGTAACTGGTATAGAATTATTGTTTGTGCTGATAGTCTAAAACTGTCAGGCAGTCACCTGGCTCATCTGATTGCCCTGTTTTTTATCTCTAGATTATCAGTGGAGCTGACTGACACCCCTGTAGTTAGTGGTCTGGAGTATTTCAATTGCCTACCAGCCCTCCAGTATTTTAGTTTCCCGTTTCCTTAAAGAATGAGTTGAAGGAATAGAAGCCGTCTCCAGGCATTAGTGTTGAGTATAAGGCTACTGTACTTGATTAGCGTGTAATAATTAGCATATGCGTGTAATCAGCATTATTGTGCACCTCACAGCCCTGTGTGACCCTGCTTTGCATAAGACCACGGAAGAAGCGGCGCATCCCTCACTTCTCCATAAACGTGGTGTCAACTTAGCTTTGCTTCTCTCCTTCTACTTTCTTTAGCTCTCTTTGGAAGCATTTTCCTCCATCTCCAGCATTTTAAGAGGGTTAATCTCGATGTCTAGACCTGCAATTTCTCGAGTTTGCTTTGTTTATCTCTCTCTTCCTATTTCCTTATGATTTTGGACGCTACATTAATTTTCATCCTCTCGTGATTCTTTACAGTTTATCCTAATAACCTTTTGTCCTGTTCTCACTGCTGTCCTGCTATCCACCCCGAAATTGAGAGAGTACTTGTGGCCACACTGAGTGAGTCTGCTTAATCCCCTCATTGAGAAAGGAGAAGAATGAAACAGGCCAGGGTGTGGGGGGGGGGGCTGAGCATTTACCCTCCCTATCCTCACCCTCTACCCCCACCCATGGGAGGGCAGAAAGCCACCCCTTCACTAGCCTTCATCTCATTGCCCACTTATCCCATTTCACTCCCAGCTGTGTGCAGTCAGTGGCCTAGTTCATAGCGTACTGTTGTCAGTGTGACAACTATATAGGCTTGATATAAAGTTGATTTACTATATAGTAAACATCTAAGCAGTGATTTAAATTTGACTGTTTGCGCTGAATTTGGTCAATGAAGTGTCAAGTTATAACTAGCGCACTCTTGGCCTCGTTTGCTTGTGGTAAACGGCTAGTTTATCGTTTGCATTGTCAAATGACTGATTAAAATCAATGCGTTTAATTTACTTTGCCTATTCCCATCAGCACGCTTTCAGTTCTGTAAGAGTATTCTTCAAATAGCTTCCCAGTGGGTTTTGTTCACAATCTCCCCATCCTTTTGATATACATTTTTTCCAAATCCATTAAAAGTATCAGATTATTATTTTTAAAATTATATTTAGTTCATGTTGGTGCTGCTGGAGGAGCCCCTCAAACAGTTTATTTGTTTGGACCCTCAGCAAACATGGGCTTGGATGTGGGTGTGCTAGGGGGAGGAAGGGGTGATGGGTATTATCAAAATTTCTTGTTTTTAGTTGGTTCCCATCTCATCCAGAGAGCACATTCAGGGGAGCGAACTTTGGGATCTCACTTTGTTTATGGATGGGAGTACATAAAAGGGCTCTTATAGCTCTGTCTCTCACTCAGTCTTCTACCCCTCCTCTTCACTTCTCCCATAGCTTCTCCCTCTCTCTTTCTTTCTCTTTTCCATTTGGGCACTGGGGTGGGGGCCTTTGGTCATTAATAAAATGGGGAGAGACGGGGAGTGTGTGTGGAGGGGGGTTGGAGTGGGGGGCTTGTCAGGCACAGTCAAGTGTAATCCAAAGTCTACAGCATCCTCTTCGACAACTATTTTAATGGAAATGGGGAACATATTGTATCAAGGCTACCATATCCTACTTGAAATGACAGTATCAAAAGTGGGAGTTGATACTATGGCAACAAAGCAGCTTTTTGCCAGCTAGGCGAGTCGGAGAGAGGGTAGGCTGTCAGGCCACAGAGGCCGGCAAGCGAGGGAAGGAGAGAGTGAGTATATGGGGAGATGGGAGCGAAAGACCCATAGCCTCAGTGCTTTTGTTCCTGGCCTTTTCCCCCCCCATTTTGGAATATGATGCAATGAGATGGTATTATGTTGCTTTTTTTTAATGCTATTATTCTTAAAGGGGAATATGTGGGAGGGGTAAGAAGGGGGCACGGGGGTGGTTTGGGATGTGCACTCTCAAACTTGACTTGATCCATCCCGCTAAAAGCTAATGCATGGTGGCCTTGAACTGTTCTCTCAGGAGATGAGTGATCTTTGTCCCCTCTCTCCCTCTTTCTGTGTCTGCCTGTTTTTAAGGGTTTTGCCTCTTTTCAACCCATTTTCAATGTGCCAAAGGTATTGTGTCCCACACATTATGAATAACATACTCTTCCTATGGAGAGGAGATTGGACCTACCTCACCCATAATTGAAGGTGCAGCTTGGAGATCTGCTTTTAGGGTGATACACTTAGCTTTATGCTCCTTTTTTAAAAAGTATTTTTTAAGAGCATTTATTGTTTTATCATTCATTCATTTTTCGATCCTTACAATTTTCCCTTTGGTGCTACAATTAATATATCACGGGCAGCAGACATTGGCATAATTTGAACATTTGCTCTTGTCCTCCATGATTTATTTGATCTAGGATCAAGTTGATGTAGTATGAAGTGAGATAAGCACAGTTCTCTTTTACACAGTTAATGAAATGTTAAGACCGTACTTAGAGTGGGCTGGTCCTGTGTTCCAATCACCACGAGGGTCAGTAAGCTGAGACACCCACGCCCTAACCTCTAACCAGCCGTGAAGAGAACAGAGGCCGGGGTAACCTGATCTTTGACTCGTAGCACTCTCACGCACCGCCTCTCTCTATATGTCTGTGTGAGTGAGACCTCTCATTTTTCAGGTCTGTCGTTTTGGTTCCTCCCCTTGTCCTGTAAGGCCAATCTCTTAATCACAGGGTAAAAGAGGGTGAGGGCATTGAAAGGCCAGGTGACTTTCTTAACTTGCACTCTCACTGCAAGTTTTATTGTCTGGAGATGAGTGGTCCAGGCCGGCCTGTGTACAAAAAGGCGTGGGTGATTCGAGCCATTGTGTTGACATTGTCAACTATGTGACGGTCAAATCTTGAAATGAACACCTGCGAATGCTCATGCAAGGCGGTGTGGGCTTGCGCATGGTCAAGTGTTTTGTGTGCGCATGATGGGATTAGAGTCACGGCGGTGGCAGATTACCTGTAACTGTGATCTGTTGTGGAGGGGATTAACTTTGTGGTGCTCCATGCTGTGAGGTAACATGACGCAGCAGGGACAGACCACGGTGAGAGGAGAGTTGAGTTAATGCTAGAGCACTGAGGCGATAAAGCTAAGATAATCCACTTCTTCTGTGACCTGAGAAAGAGGAGGAGTGAGGGCTTCATTGATGGCTTCACCTGGAGAGAACTTGAGGTAAGCGGAAAGGTTTTCAGGCTTGGTGAGTCTCACAAAAAACTCTGTGGGAAAGAGGGAGTGGCAGAGCTTTTACACAGCACGATGAATTACTGCGATTAATGTGACTGACACCTTAACCTGGTTATTTCAGTGGCTTTAATGTTGTATTGTCATCGGTGTGACATTGTTTTGATAGTGTTGAACACCACTAATTATTTTGCTTGTGTAGACAGAATGTTAGCGGAGAACTATAGATGTTTTGTTAATTGCTTTCTGTGCAGACTCACTAAATACTGTTTAAAAAAATTGCAGAAGCTTTTTTTTTTTTTCCAACTGTTGTTTGGACTCGACTTCCACCATATCCTCCTATTCACCAGCTGACAGTACATGTGGCCATAAGGGACAGTCCAGCTTCCTCGGTACTCGGGAGTGTTGGAAGCGATGACGCAGAAGTTTTTTCGCTACTTGTGGAACAGGGGTGGCAAACTAGTGAAAGCACAAAGCTTTAACATGATATGAGACATTGTTAAAGCAAACAAAACATTTGCCTGGAGAGTTTGGACACAGTTAACTACCAAGTTTGTTTTGAATCCCGACTTTAGGGAGTATGCATCTGCGCACACCCATTTTGTGCTTGCAAAATGGTGAGTGCTAATGGCTGTTTTTAATCAAAAGTAGCATACTACAAGTTATTTAAACAGTGGTGCCCCAGCATAAGCAAGAAGATTACGGTCACTGCCAGAAGAAATCCATAATCAGAAAAAGACTGAAGAGAGGACAGGACACAGGATGGAGGGAGAAAAGCATCTGCTATTCTCAATGAAGCATGATAAAAGGAGTTTCAAGGGCAGGAAATCTGACTTATTTTGCAGATTGAGGGAAATAAAAGGGACGAAGACTTGTGGGGGGGGGGCAAAAGAACACTTCTGCTCTACCACCTCCTCAATTAGTCCTGCACAGAGTAGATGGAGCTCCTAACCTCTCCAGTTTTGTTTTTCCTTTATGTCCACATCCCTTCCTCCTCTTTTGTTCAGACATTTACGTAGACTTATAGTTAACTCTCCATTTCTTCTGCTGCGCACAGTGGCAGTGGCCCGCTCATCGATCAGTCCAGTGCTCAGGCTGCATTCATGCTGCACCACTTTCTCGATTGCTTTCCTTTTGTGATTCCTTCTTTCCTGAATTCTGACCTTCTCTGTATATGGCCTGCCCATGAAATGCTCATTCACTCCCTCCTTGTTTGGACATTGTCATGGGATGGCCATGTACTGTCAGGACCGGTGAAGAGGTTTGGCATTGTGCCGAAATGTGCTGTCTGCTTCAGTGTTCCTGTCAATGTCGAAGCATCTCCCCCTTTAATGTGAAATTCCCGCTCAAGTGCTTGTCGACAACAACTTTAAATTATACACACGTGCACGTTGACGTACATGAACACATAAATGGCAAATATTAAGTGAGATAGACCTTGATGAGCAGAGCACAAGCGAAATAGGTATTTGTTTATTTATACATGTTTGTCCTGGAGGTCGGTTTGAGTTTTCCATTCAGTTTGCTTCAATTTGAAGTAGTCTTTGTTTCTTTTTCCCGTCTAATATTTTTTTTCGTTTTCAGTAAAGTCAGTGCAGATAATCCAAGGCTGTGCTCCAACGCAGCACAGTAAAAAAAAACCTTTCTCTCCTTTTCCAGGTTTGCAAAACCTCCACCCAAGCCACGATTTTCTGCCATTTATAGCCCTGCCCCATGATGAGATTGAGGCCCCTGTTTGTAGTTGTGGAAGTTTAATCTAGGGAATCCCGAAAATATGTTTCCAGTTTGTGGTTAGTGGTTTTACGTGTGTGTGAGTGAGACAGAGAGTGGAAGCAGGGAGGGTGAAGGGTGGGGCAAAGCATCTGACCTAATAGCTGTCATTAAGCTCAAGGGTTAAACCAACTTCATAGCATATGTATGAATCCCCCTTCCCCAAGCAGATTTTCTTTTCACTTCTCCAAATATTTGCTGTAAACTAAATGAACAATTTCTTAACCCAAAAAAGAGACTAAAAACAATGGACCACAACCATTACATAAATAGAAAAATAAATATATATATATATATTTATTATTATTTAACAAAATGAATGTATTATAACAATATATTTGTATGATCCAGTATTTCTGAAAAAAAAACAGTCCAGTTCCATTTTCCTCTGTAAAGTTGACACTATGCAGATACCATGAGAACTGTTAGCATTCTTTCATTACCAGCTAAGCTGTCTGTATTTCACCCGTCAGTCAGGGAACATTTTTAGACATATAATACCAAATTTTAAGAACACTTTTGTTTTTGAAAATACACAATACCCCATTTTTCTTTAGCGACTGGTATAAGAACACCTTTTAATGGGAGTTCAGAGCATTTCTTTTGTAGGTAACTCAAACTACTCTCCCCATTTGGTGATTTCTTAGAGGAATCTCTCTGTGGTGTCTTGGAAAAATGATCCTTTTCTGTGAATAACAGCAGCAGGAACTGTTCAAGGACAGCTCCTCTGGAAATCACAGGTATTTATGGAAGTGACACCAGTAATGGTTTTGTTCTCTGTGTGTCCTCAGACCAACCTGCCAATCTTTAAGCTGAAGGAGTCTCGTGTTCGGAGGCGATACAGCGACTTTGAGTGGCTCAGAGCGGAACTGGAGAGAGAAAGCAAGGTGGGCCTCTGAGGTGCTTCTACTCCAAAACTTCTGATTACTCATCTTATTAAATCATGATACATTGTCAACTGTATCTATAATGTTTTGGAAATGTGTTGAGAGAGCTATAGAGCAGCTGTGGAGAGCAAAAAAAGACAGAAAAAGTTGTTTTGCCTCAGAAACGACACAAAAATGCTCTGCATTGCATATAGCCGTGCTATACACTATATAGATAACGGGCACATGTGTCTCTTTAATAAATTAGTGCTTTTGTAACTGGTGCTTTTTTTCCTCTGTTCTTCTGTGTCTTTCAGGTGGTCGTACCGCCTCTCCCAGGAAAAGCTCTTTTCCGTCAGCTTCCATTTAGAGGGGACGATGGCATATTTGATGACTCTTTCATCGAGGAGCGGAGGCAGGGTCTAGAGCAGTTTCTCAACAAGTAAGCCTGTCCACATCTCTGCATTCTTTAGGCTTTCTTCCATTACTTGCCACAAGGTCAAAATGATTATCTCTTTTCAAGTTCTTCTTTGCAGCTGCAATCGATTTCAGCTCGTGCCTCAGCAAGGTGTTATTTTAACTTTGAGGAACAATGAAACACTTAGTGCAAAAAGGAACATTCAACTTTTTCACTTCTCTTCGTATTGTTAACAAACTGAACCCTCAGACACCGGCAGGTCTTTTTCTCACTATCCTCCTTAATTCTGTTTTATAATTACCGCGTAAAGAAAAAGAATAACCAAAGGGGACTGGAGTGCACACCCTCACAACATCATTTTTTCCCCACATTTGTTTTGTTGTTGATGTGTAATTTATGTTAATTGCAGCTGAAATTACAGCGCTTGGTTGCCTGAGATGGTGTGTGCACCTCTGCTTATTTTTGATCCAGCATGTCCTCATATTCAGCTGCCAAACAATAAAAGTTACAGTGTGATTGTAATCATTTGCTTTGATTGCAGACTTGGCCATTATGTTTGTTTCATGTGCAAATGCATCAATGTTTCCCATTCGAATATTAAGTGTGTAAAGACAGTTGGGAAAATTAAAATCCATGACTGTTTCCCCCCCTCCTCCCTCCAAAGAAGATGAGAATGAGAATGCGTTGGTAATTAAGACTTACCTCCCCCCACATTGTTTTTGCTTTCTGTGAATGAAACGCTGTTGGTCATTATATTATTGTTCAGGCTTGATAATGCCGAATGTAGCTGGCAGTATTGTTCATCTGTGATTGAGAGCATTGTGAAGAGAAATCCTTTTTTGATGCTAAACATTAAGCAAGAAGGAGAAGAGAGAATGATCAGCTTTTGATTATGATGGGCAAATATATCTCAAGCATCAGGTAAAAGAGAGGGGCTTTCATCTACCATTGCATCTCTGTTCACCATGCCAATGTTTCTGAACCCAGTAAGCCGGATTTGTCTGGTACAAGTTTGATCTTTCTATTGATTTCTCTGGAATTTGACCTGTGACTCGTTCCCCACGTTGCTTGATTTAATATTTCCCAATACCGGTTAAGATGTGCACATGTGTGCAATGTCATCATGTTGGTCTTTTCTGAGTTATGCAGCACTCATAGAATGAGATGTTTTAGGGTCTCAGGTGCCCTGCCTTGTTCCTGTTAAACCTCTGTGCATCATTGGAAGGAAGATTCTGGAAAACCTCATATCACATAAGAAATTATAACATGCAGCTGTGATGGTTTCTGTCTCCATCGCAAAACATTCTGTGAGGAATAATTGTCAGCATAAAGTTATGACTGATAGTTTCATTTGAGTATCTGAATTTTTAGGTCACACCTACTTTTAGATTATTATTTGGGCATATTAAGCTTTATTATTTAGCATTTTAGAGAAAACTACAGTATCAATTATGATTATATCAGCAGATTAACTGTTTAGATGCAGGTGTGTTTTAAAAGTCCCTAAATAAGCAGTTATTTAATATTGGGATGGCTGATTTTCCTCACCTGGGGTTTCAAACTCGTGCTGAACACTTTTTCTTCTTCTGTAACGGAGCTGCATTGATTTCAAATCGGTCTCACGCCTTTGTGTTGGTAATTAAATGCAGTGGATTTGAGGGCCTTGAAGTTTTGTGACACACCATGTAACTGTAATGCCTCAAAATGATTTATTGTCCCTTATCTGAACTCCAGACTAACTGTACGCTGCATTTTTATTTTCTTATGCTGTCACAACTCCTAATTACTGCCAACATGAGGCAAACTGAGATTACAGGCCAAGGGCTTATCACAGATTCAGGTTCCACCTTTAAGTTTGCCACTGTATGCAGATATGCAAACCAGGGTGTTCTCACAGATCCAGGACAGCCTCGGCTGGTCTTCAACTTCCCAGTTGATGGTTTTTGGTTGTTTTTACCGAGGATTGCTGTTGGGCAACATATTCAAAAACTACCATTTGTCGGTTGCAAGGATTTTAAAATATACTTTTTGTTTCATACTGACATATTCATACTATTGATTATAGTCCAAGAAAAGATCAATCATGGTCAATCCTGTTTACAGGCATCGTTCAGACAGCGGTTTCTGTATTTTCAATAAAGGGAAGATCTCTTTTTTCTTTTTTCTTTTTTTTTTTCTTTCACCCATGCCTTTTCCTACCACCGCGCTCAGAGGAGCGGCGCCACTTCTCTACAGTTGTCAGACCTGCCTCTCGCTCTTGTGTGTTTCAGAGTGGCCGGGCACCCTCTAGCTCAGAACGAGCGCTGTCTGCACATCTTTCTACAGGAAGAGTCTGTGGACAAGAGCTACACCCCTTCCAAAGTCAGACAAGCCTGATTGGGAAAGATGGCTCTGCTCGGCCCGGTCTGGCTCGGTCTGTCTCGGTCACGCTCCGTCTGGCTTGGCCCAACAACCCAAAGCTGTCTTCACTGCTCCAGGTTTCTCTCAAACAATAAACACTTCAGTGACAATTTTCCCCCTTTTCAAGCCCCTTAAAGTACTATCAGTCTTTTAGTTGAATTATTCTGATCGATATGTGTTTTCACCTTCTAATTAAAGTCAAGAATGTTCTTCACAACTGTGGTTGAAAATGATTTATCGTTAATTCTCTATATGTCCTGGAATGCCACTAAATGATATTATGTATTTATCCTTTAGATAAGTCCTAAATATAGTCATCTATACATTAACATTGAATGAGCTTTCCATTGCAGAGCTCTTGTCATGACCCACAGCGTTCCCCTGGCATGTTGCTCACTGTAACTTGCAACTAAACGCGCACAGACACACACTCAACATCCCTTGACTTTCAAACCACACACAGCTGTTGTCTTAAAAAGGATGTGTGTGCATGTGTGTGTTTGTTACTCAACCAGCACCTCCCTAATTATCACAATATTTTCTATTGCAAACAATTTACACAGAGGGAACTGCAGTATTTCTACTGGCTATATGCATTTTGAGATTTGTATACTGCTGTGCCATTTTTGTTTATTTTGAAGATTTTCCAATAAAACAGGTGAAATGTCTCCACGCATAGGTGCATTTGTTGATTCGGAGTGCTCCCTTTCTCCTGCAAACCCCGACGGATGGAGGGTGATGTGCTGCATGCTGCCACAGTCGGTTAAGCTCAACTCATCACCACATTAGTTATTCAGTAAATACAGGCCGAGATGTCCATTACGAAGATGTTTATGGCTATTCAGAGAGCTTGTGAATCAGCCCTGAGAATTTTAAGCTTCTCCTGAGATAAGATTTCATGCTTCAATCATGCAGGACTGACATAAGTCATGCTTAATAGGTTTGTACTACCTGCCACCAAATTGCATCAAACAGGAGATTTAGATCTTATACAGGAACTTGTTGTTTAAAGGAAAGTCTTAATTCCTGCTTTAATTTAAAATGCTTTAGCAATCGGCATGCTTAGCCCTAATTATAAAGTATTAATAGAAGGTATTTTTGACACTGTTGATACTGTTCACAGTAATAAAAGTGTGATGTGAGAGGGCTAATGCCATTATTGGTTGTGATTTGGAAAATGTAGAAGCCTGCAAACATCTGCTGCTTCACCCTGTCCAGGTGATGTGAAAACAGCTGGGTTTTCAATCATTTATTCTCTTGGTTACAACTCTAAATAGTTATAACTCCAAATATTTACAACAGAATAAAAACGTCACAGGCCACCAAAAAACAAAACAATATTTTCAAGTGCTGAATATTATTTTATCCAGTGTTAGTGTCTAACTTCACAAAGTCGACCTAAACCTTTTTAACGCGGCGCCTTACAGGACACACCAACACAAACAGGACAGTGGTCACTGAAATACAAACGCCGTCCTCGGAGGAATTAAGTTTTTTACTCAGGAGGGCAATACATTACGTCCTTCAAAGAGTCCTCTTCTTTTTTATTATTTTTTTCCTGCGCAGTGCCTTTTAGAGCTGGCACCTCTTCACCCTTGCACTTGTGCGTTTGGTTTCAGCACTTGATCGAGGAACAGCGATCCACACGCCCCGACTGGGCATGCGTCATCTTTTTTTGGTTTCCTCCACTGGGATTGAACACAGCAATTAAAAATTGAATTGGTCGTCAAGCTCATTGGTCTCACGGACACTCCAAAAACATCGTAATATACAACATTTCTCTGTAAAAGGAACTTGGCGGGTGTCTTAAGGCGACGTTTAACGCTGCAAAAAAGCTGCAGCCTTCAGAATCATACGTGCAGTCTATGATGCAAAGTACGTGCTACTCCTTAACTAGCGCAACTGTTAGCGGACTATCTGCTGATCCGACTGTGATGCAGTCCGTTTCAATGGAGCCTATAGGCCTAAATAGGCTACACTAAGACAGCCTTTGAGATTGTGTGCTCCGCAAAAAAAGTCAACCCACGAATGCTCCTGCGGTGGTGTGACATTCATTCCATCCACTGCCGGGTGGATGTCTTAAGTCTGAGTCCTTTCCACGCCAGCGTGGGCAGCTGGCGAGAATTCATATATCGCTGGATTTGTACATGTCGGAGAGCAGCCTGGTGATGGGCACGTTTCCGATGGTCTTCTTGAAGAACACCTCTTCTATGGTGGACGGGCTGACGGAGCGGAGGGCCGGCAGGAGCAGCAGCAGCTTTCCGAAACGACACGGCTGGGTGGGGTACCTGGAACACAGAGTCTGGATAAGGAACAGCGGCACCAGCCTTTTGAACTGCCGCATAGGTAAGTCGGGGTCTTTTGTTTCCCTATACAGTTTAGAATTTGCGCAAGAATTACGCGTCTTTACGCAAGACGCGTAATGAAGTAGATACACTTTATCAGACCGATTCTAATCACTTTCCTTCTTACCTGGTGTGTATGTAACTGTTGAGCGTGAGCTGTGCTTCGTCTTGAAGGGCAGCGATGGCACTGGCGTTGCGGAAACTTCTTAATTCGGTGCTGCCTTGCGTAGGAACTGCCAAGATACACGCAGGGTTGGAGTGACTTTCGGATTAGCGCAACACAGCAACCCGAGTTTGCAGAAACGTATCAACTCAGTCACGGGCTTGTGTTGACGATGTTTTCCACGCTCACCTGCTTTGAATGTCACGATACACTTCAAACAAGCGAACTCCGTCGCGTCAAGACGCATCTGTCTGAATCTGGTGACCACCTCCTGAAGCGCCTGGATCTCAGACATGATCTTGTTCATCCGCTGAGACTCCGTGTTTTCAGTGTTCATGCCTTTGAATGAAAGTGGAGGAAATGTTACTTTAACGCTGCAGCATCACACTGGCTCGTTCACATCAGCAGCTCCTGAGCAGGTGATGTCTTTTTTTTTCTTCTTAGGCCTAGAAACGTACCGGAAACAGCAAGAAGGGTTGTAGAGTCCACAGGAATGGCCCACTGCGCGATGCCCAGAACAAACAGCTCCCTCCAAGCATCTTCCAAAAGAATCAACTGGAAAGAGAAAATTGAAGTGTTAAACCAGAATGTTTAATTGTGTTAGAGAATTATTTTTGATCCTGTGAAGCAACATTATTACAGCTGTGTATAGCTTACATGTTTCCACCATGCTCAAAATATGCATAATCAGCCCTAAGTTTAATCACCTGAAATAATTTAACAATGAGCCTTTTGGGGTTAACCTGTTGGCCTAAAATGTTTCAAAACCATTTATAATTTCTGACGCATCATCCATGTTATTGCCGGCCATGAATGACATTTGGTGTTCTTGTCACAAATCAGGCTACCTGATCCGATAAGGGGAGGGTGGAGAAGGCCGGCACGCTTTTGGCCCACTTGATGCTCATGAATAGGAGGCGCGCCGCCGATTCGCACACCGATTCCGTGGCCACCTCGTACAGGTACATGGGAGTCCCGCTGACCTCGTGAGGATACTGCGCGGTGTGAGAAAAGAGCAAAGGTCACCATCGATCGCAGATGACAACACGACGGGCATGGGTGCTTAGAGGCCAAATTCCAAGCCACAGCACCTGATTTTATAATCATTAGTGTTTCTTGTGGTGGATTTACAGTGACAAATCTAATAGGCAGATTTGTGGTTCTTACAGCATGCTAAATCGGGACAAGAATGTCAACTTCTAACCCTTGTTGAAAAAAAAAAAGGAATCCTATTAGAACATTTTGAAAGGGAGTAATGCAAATATCAACATCTAACTCATAACCTGCAATCTTATATTTCTAAAGCAACAGTCTATCAAATGGACAGTAAAACATTAATGGCTTGGCCTCGACAGTGTCTAATTTGTATTTAATTGCCACGTGGGACAATTTACCAATAATAAAAAGAATGAGTGATCTCCTACCTTAGGTGTTGGCTGTGCCAGACCCACGATGGCCTGCCTTTCTGGAGTCGTTGCCACTGAGCTCATCTCCAGATTGTGAGGCTCCAGTTGGGTGACGGTGGTGAAGAAGGGAGGCCCAGGCAGCGAGGATCCCGGGAAATGGGTCGAGGATCCGTTCACCTCTTTGTGGCCCCGGAAATAAAGGGCGACCTGTTTGCGAATGGTGGACGTCCGGGGCCCTCTTTCATGCTGAACGGCTGTGAAGCGGGACAACAGGCACCCAGAGTGAAGGAATGATCTCCGCAGGACTGAATGCTTTTATTTATCTAATCTGCATTTTCTTCCCCCCTAAAGTGACTGCAGTTTTGCTCTATTTAACTATAGCCTATCTGCTCCTAAAGTTAAGCACTGAAAGTGCAAATTCTCTGCATGAAAGAAAGAAATAATTGGCTGTAATTAGCCTCTATCCGCACTCCAGCAGAGAACACATAATATCCCCTTTAAAACAAGCAAAAAAACAGGTAATTATCAACTTCTTTGAAGCCCTGATTAACGGCCTTAACAAACTTTTCCATCCGAGTTGCCCACCTCAAATCCAACTGCCACAGCATGGCTTTACTATAGACAAAGTGATAATTCAATTAAGCCCATTTACCGTCTTTATTCATGTTCACTTCCAGACACTTTTTCAAACGACACGCTCGGCACTGGTTCCTGTGAGTTTTGTCAACGGGACAGCCACCCTGCGCACAGAGAAAGAGAGAGAGTGGTTACAGCTCCGACTTAAAGTTCTCGTAGGGAAACCCTCCCGTTATTAGCCTCGCGGGAGGCCAATTTTCAGGTAAAGGATCATGCTATTATCTTGTAGTCACGGGCCCGCTCCCCTGCAGCTCCAGCTCGGCCTCATCCCGATAAGTACTCCATCCCGCCCTCTGCCGCCTAAATCCTCGTCTTCGAGACATCAAATTAGATTGGATTACAGCTGATATGTTTCGGCAGCGCGGTGTTTACCCCGGCATTTAATAGTCCAGGCATGACATAATCAGGCTCATCGTGGAAGACGGAGGAATAAAGGAAGACGGAAAAAATAACCGTGCGCAAAATGTACTTTACGCGCGTAAATCTGCAGAAAAACAGCTACCACCGCTGGGTGTATGAACGTTTGGTGACTATTGGAAAAAAACATAATATGCCATGATTATGAACCAGTTACCCAGCGTTTGTTTGCTTGGATGTGTATGACAACAGTTACATTTAAAGGAGGTCCAAGTGTAATTTGCCACCACCAGCGAAGGACCATGTAAAATGAACTATTCTTCAATTTAGAGCTTTGCTAATTTAAAAGGTTTTACCTGTGAGCCAGATTTACAGACGTAGGTCCGGTTTCTGCGGATGCTCCTCTTGAAGAATCCCGAGCATCCGTCACAGGCGTAAACACCGTAGTGCTTCCCTGAGCTGCGGTCGCCACACACTTTACATGGAATGTCCAGAATCCGACCTAGAAGAGGCCCAAAAACACAAAGCGTACTGAAAATCTGTGCCTGAGATATCTTTAAAATGATCTTTTAGCAAATGTATGCTAATGATAAATCGTGAGGATATGACTGATGCGAACAATTTGCTGGAGCAGGTTTCCAAAATTGATCAGAATTTGGTAAAGTTCTGCTGATCGATTAAACGAGTTTCATACAGTATCAGGTAAACTGAGCTGTTGGAAGTTTACGGAAGATAGAAATCAAACTCAGTGACAAACTAACTAACAAATGACTTTTTTTTTTTTTGCCCGGCCACCACACACACACACACACACTCGTACACTGGACAACAACCCCGAGTCTGATCTGACCATGACCATGGGAATTCACTGTGCATATTTCAAGAATAAAGTCCGGTGGGAAGCGTCATATCTGAGCTCTTTAAGACAATGGCCCGAGGGCTCACAATGGAGACATTAGGGGAAAGTGTTAACTTAATGATTTTCCCTCATTGAAGCTTGTCTGACTGCCTGGATCTCGACAAGCTGCCAACTCCACTTCATAATGGGACTCGACAGCTGCTTTATCCCACAGGTCTATAGGCCCCAGGATTAGGGAGTGACACTGCACCATGAGAATAATGCGCACCAACTCGTTTCACCAACTCAAATGAAGTGTATGTAAATCGACCCCGGTGTAGATGGAGAAAAAAGTGATTTTTTTTGTGAAGATTTTGTATTCAAATCTCTTAGAAAGAACTATATTTGTATGCATATGAGGGAGTCTTTTTCATTCTGGAGGGAAAAGCCGTCTATGTAATTACACTGACGTTTTGCCACCTGCTCATTGATTCACCAGTGACCCGTCAAAAAGGGTAGCATGGGAATAACTACTCAGCAGCAAAAACAATGACTCCAGGGGAGAGTTATAGGACTTCAATTGGCTGCTTGCTCAGAAGGCCGGTTTAAACTATTTAAATGTTAGTCACTGCCGTGCACATGAATATGATCCATTGTGAAACATCTTTCGTGCCGTTAGAAAGTGTATTCATAAACGGTTGCTTCCTTTTCCTGTTACCAGCGAAGTATTTTCTAGATTTGTGCAAATGGGGGACACTTTTGATATTTAACATTGCAATCTTTTTTTATTTTTTATTGAGATTTTTAAAAGAATTGCCAGGTGATGTTACAACGTTGTGGGCTTGGACATGAACGAATGTTTCATTCTGAGACGCTCACATTAAATACAGCAATAGCTGGAAATCTTAAAAGATTTACGCACAATTTTGTTGTAGAATAGGAATCTGTATTTAGCTTCCCGCTGTGGGGGTCCAGTACGTCTCTATTGTGTTCGGTAATTGCTTGAAAATATATGGCATATTCTATTAACGTAATCACCATCACAACGAAAACTTGTAATAAGAACTGGGAATTAGAGCTGAAATATTTCCGCTGGACGCCTATTTCTTAATATAAGCAACAATGTTGCAGCGTAGGGTTTTTGAAATGTGTAATTTTATTGTCCCTCAAATATGAAAATCAAAGGTATATGGTATCTTAGACTAAAAGTCTTTAGAAGTAACTGTTTGGCATGACTAGTTGTAAAATAAACACGAGTAAAAACAATGTAATTGCTGTGAATTGAGACATTATTGTGAACATTTTTGTTTATTTTGAGAGCAATATGAGAAATAGAGAACAAATTGATCAACACTTAAGAAACAAATGTTACTAAAAAAACGTTGAGATTAATTTGTGATTAGAAAGTCTCGATTTAAAAAGAAATTAATTCAATTTAAATCATGTGTACATAAAGTTATTTAAGTTTCCGATTCTTTAACTAGGAAAGGCCCTCTAGTTTTGAGTTTATTTTAATGGAGTAAAATAAAATATTCTAAAAGTTGAAGAGATTAATTTCTTATCCATCTTAATTTTGACTAACAAGAATGAACTTATTTCTGTTTGTAAATGTACTCGAATGAAGTCGTTACTACAAATTAAATTATAGGCAACAAGTGGCATCAAGTGGGATACAAGTGGAGCTCTTAAAGAGGTATTTTTGGAACAGTGTTTTGGCCTTAAATTTTCTCACTTTACAAAAAAAACTTTAGTTCTAAAAACATAGGACTAATTTAATTGATTACATTTCTACAGAAATATCTTTGCTGTCCAGTGGTTTAATTTAGAACTTTTACGACTGAACTCTGAGACATTACTGGCATGTTTTTATGATGGAACATGAACTTCATTAATGCAGGTAATTACAGAAGTTTACTGTTAATGTCCGATTTAACTCCAGGTCAGAGAAAGGCCTGTTTTCGACCCTTTATTTCCCTGAATTGATGGAGAGGATGGAAAAACTTACTCGATTTGACGTTGAGAATATCCAGACAGCCACTTGTTGAGCCGGTGGGTTTGCTCATCGTGAACAGTTGATCTTCTGATGAGTCAGAATGGAAATGTTCCTTTTCTCCTTTCTTTTTTGGTGTCGGAAACAATAAAAAAAGATTCCCCTGCCTCTTCACCAGCAGCGATCGGATATCAAAGTCCTTTTTCCAAAGTTGACACAGACTCAGTCTCCGGTCGCCAGCCTCAGACTGAGAGTCGTGGTCAGGAACTGGTCACTGGTCGGTGGTCTTCGTCCCCGCCACGAGAGGTCCAGAGAACCGGACTGAAGCCGAGGACTGGAACCGGTTACCCTATAGGACTGCAGCCCTCCAGCAGGGGTTGCGTGGAGTTGGAGGTGTTTGGGGACGAGAAAAAGTCCGCTCCCCGAAGAGCATCAGCCCGCAGAGCCAGAGCTGGCGGGGGAAAAAATGAAAAGTGGAGACTTGGATTTCGGTGACAAAGTGAAAACTTGTTCAAAACCGGGACGCGGTGTGACTTTGCGCTGCGAGTCCCCCTGAATAAGCCCTGGTAATATTTATGAGAAGTGTCAGGGGAAGGCTGGAGGGTGGAGATCTCCACTTCCTTCATCCACTTGGCTTTCTACTCCAAACTCCAGTCTGACGTCACCGGCGTGTGAGGGAGTGTGTGCGTTTGAACGTGTGTGTGTGTGTGTGTGTGCCAGGGGATGTGAAGTGCCTTGCTTAGAGTCTCAGAGCAGCACCACTATAAAAAAAGAAAGGAAAAAAATACAAAGGGAGAGGAAAGCATGTGTTGCATGCATGTTTTTGGCATCTTAAAAGAAATTCTCTTCACTTTGGTTATTTTGGGGTTTTTTTAAACAACAACTTGATGATAAGAAAATAATAGAAACAGAGTTGAGTAGGAGTCCATGCGTTGAGCGATATTAAACAACCCTCATGACTGTACGGTGACAGAAATGGATTGCAGAAGCTGCTTTTTACGCAGGACTGCTACTGGGATGCTGCAGAGACCCGGACCAGTCCAGATTTTTTTGCACCGTCTGATTATTTGCTGGGCTGAGACGTTTCCGGTTCATCACACAATCCTGAACACCGTAGAAGACGCGCCTGAGCCTCTCAGACTAAGAACAACTGTCAAATAGATGCAGCTTTTTTTTCTCTCTCTCCCTCTCTTTCCCGCTGAGTGTGTGTGGGTTGTGATGCCTTCGTGGTCTTTTTCTTGCTCACGGCTCGTTTTAAAACCATTTCGAGCCTGGCTGCCCACACCGGGTTTCAACCTGTTGCAGATGTCATTCTGCCTTTTTAAAAATCGGCAGTCAGACTCTAAATTCAAGCTATATTCTGTGTAAAAAAGACAAGAAAATAAATATTTGATAGATCAGCTTTTTTACACTATATTCTAAAGGTTATAGGGGATTCTAATAATTTTATTAGGGGCTTTTTGAACGTCCTGGGCCACATATATTTTTACATCTCTAACTTATAGAGTTATAAAGTCTATTCGATAAATAAAAAAGGAAAGAGATATATCTATATAATTTCAGGTCCCTTATACTGCAGTTTCGTTTGTAGTTTTACATGTTTTAAGTGAGACACCAAATTTAGGATTACGCTACACATTTTGAGTTGTTATTATTGTAATCTAAAAAAATAAAGTTTATTTGCTTCCATTTTTAATTGGTGGGGTTGGATTTGACTGATTTGCTTTTAATTCTTCACTTCTACAGAGGTACTTCACTCTGAGGGGAAACCCCATCAGTTTGGCTGTAAATGTCACCCACACAAACTCATTTAATCACTCCAGCAATAATGTGCTAATCATTATAGAAATCACTTCACTTCATGGTAATCTCTTTTTGCTCCGGTGCGTTCAGATAAACACATTAACGCATCCAGTAACTGGCTAACCCTGCGTAAAAAGGGCGGTTAAACGGGTCTTAGGTGGGTTTACGCTCCTCTGCAGCCCTGCGGACAGCCGCGTGCTGCTGGACTCTGGTGTGTCCCCACTGTGTCCACGGCCGTCCTGGCCAGGGTCGGGGTCAGCACAGGGCCCACTCACTGACACCCTGACCTTGGACAGCTTGCTGTGCTTTCGCCGGGTAACTCCAGAAATCCATATTCCGGTTTTTTTAATTGTCTTCATTCCCACGGGTGCATTGAGGAGCATATGGACGCACAAAGTGTCGATTTAAGCGGACAGGGGCGAGGCGGAGAGGCGTAGTTAATTGCAATTAGCCATTGTTGCTTCTTTCAACCTGCCCTTTAGCTCAACAGCTACTGCTGGAGCCTAACAAGCCCAGTGAGAAATCACCTTAATATTCCTTTGATTTGGCTGAAGGCAGGCACAGAGAGCTCTTTTTGCCCCTTAATAGGAAGTTTAAAAAGCCACTTGTTGTGCTTTCTGGGCTCTATAAATAGTGGGAACAATAAAATATGGACTGCTTTTCTCATCTGGACTGTTTCCCCCACGTGGTCTAACTTTAATTAAGTGCTTGCTCACTGTACAAAATGCAAGGTAGAAATGATGACAGGTACTGTAAAATAATTTACTACACCAAAAAGTAACTTTTCCCAGTGTGGTAGCGAGCACTCTGACAAAATTAAGTTTGAAATAACTGTCAGATTTTGCGCGTGTATGCGACCTGTGTGTGTGTCTGTGTGTGTGGGTGTGGGTGGCTGGCGTGGTGTGTGAATGGTGAATGTGTGACATAATCTCCTTAACTCGTCCTAATCCTCGTCATTCACTGATAGCCTTTACACAAATATAACCAACATCATGGTTGCCGGGGCTTCCCTCTTTCACTTTCTGTATTAGTGACTCCCTTCTCCTCCAACAGTCAATGAAATGACGCCAACAAAAGAGGCACTGGATTGTGTATCTGTTTTTGGGGAGCTCTGCATAACTATGCGGATACTTGACGTACTATAGAAGCGACTTTATCGAGGATGAGTCCTGGAGAAGTCACTGCAGAGCAATCCAGAGAGACCACACGTGTGCACTAATTGTCTGCAAGGGTTTTAAAAGGTGAGGAAACAGCTTTTAGAGATATTGCCCGAGATCTAAATATCACATTACCATTAAAAGAAAGCATAATGAAAAAATAGATTATTAACTTCTGCTTAGCTTTTTATGCTAAATGCAGCTGTAACATATGATGCAGTACCTTGAAATTCATTTTGTGATTATCCTACTTGTTATCAACACCTCTGAATGTAAAAAAATGTAAAAATAAAATGTAGAAATAAAATCTAATTAAATAAAAATCCCGCCAATTTTTTTTTTATCCCTTTCACTGTTAGAAATCACCACCTGGAGGCCATAGTTTAACCATCTTTTATCCGCTGCTATCACTGAGCAGGCCCCTAACCATCCAGGCGTAAACCAATTGGCTTTAGGGAGAAGTCACTAAGCTCCAGAGAGCAAATAATGGGGCGAATTCAAGTCGACCAAAGGCCCATGCAGCCATGCATCCTTTAAAACTGGCCAAGGAGATCACAGCCATTCATCTCAAAGCCTACACACACTGGTGGTGTTAAGTCGAGGAGGTGGTTGTCTGTGCTGTGAAGAATAGCTTCGTCTGCTGGTGTGAGCCCAGATACAGTCGAAGAATGCCAACAGGTGTGTTCTCCGGAACCTAAGATCATTTTCATAGACCTCCACAAGATAATCCAACAGTGAATATGAGTTATTGTTCTAAACAAATAGAAAACACGGTCTGATTTCAGCACCACGGACAGTTCTGTGTCACTAAATAGTTGCAGGTCACCTGTGGTCATTCAAGCATAAAGTACCCACTATTAGCTCTGTGTGTGTGTGGACACAGAAAAACAAAAAGATGCCTTTAACTTTAACAAATTGCTTACATATTCATACCTGTAGCCCTGATATTAATTCATGGCAGTTAATTAATATCAAATGTGTGAGCCCTCCACCAAAAAAAAGATTAAAACATAGGTATTCATTTTTTAAGAGATGGAGGAAAATGTTCCTAAAGCATGCTTTGTGTCAGCCTCCACTTTCACTTTGTCTACAGTGAGACACTTTACAAATAATCCCAGTTTGGTGCATACTGTAAGTGGAGTCAAAGGGCTTTTATTTGAGGTCAGCAAGTGAGTGCATTTTCACATCGATTGTCCCAGTGGGTATTTGGTGTTTAGGACGGCTGTAATCATTGTTCCACTCCACATACAATCTCCATCTGTGTGTCATAACCAGTGACCCGGCGTTCCCTCGCCATGAGCACCACACCGTGGGCCGGCCCACAGCCCGCTCTGTCGTGCCGTCTAGTGTGGGCCTCACCTGTGCATGCGCATGCATTGAAACACACGCTCGAGGCCTCACCACCACATTAGTCTCCCTGCAAACTCCGTCCAAAGATCCAAACCCCGAAACCCGCGGGTCGGGGCGATGCAGTTGGACGCTCTGACAAATCTATTTGGGGCAAATTGTCAGTGAGAAACTTCCGCTCGAACTGCCGTGGACAAAACTGGCTGTTGGGGAGAGCAAATCCCGCTGCATGAGGGTGGGGGACAATGGGGGGCGAATGTGTTGATGTGCGGCCGGTGGCTGGGGAGGGACAATGGACGGATTAGTCAGTCCCCTGGCTGACTGATTTGAGATGGCTCCTCTCAGCCTCTCGCCGTGGGGAGTCCCATTGTCCCGCTTCTGATTCCCACTTCTCACAAACTCCAAACAAAAGTCAATCTCTTTCTCAAGGGGGTGGGGTGGGAGGTGGGGGGTGTTATCGACCTGTGTTTCAGCTGGGGAAAGTGACTCAAAAACTTACTTGCAAGAGACGGCTGACTCTCAAACTCTTCTTCCACTCCTAACGCCTTTTTCCCCTTTATCCTCTCCATTCATCTTTACTGACCAGTGGTGGAGGATAGCCGGGATGTTGAATGAGTTTTTCAGACTCGAATAGGGCCGGGGCACCTGTTGAAAGCTTAGAGGCGCTGTGCGGGTCATTAATATTAAAATATACAGAGATGCCATCACGGGCTGGTCTGAAATCGGTCTGATGTCGCCCCTGGGTTCCCTCTCTGGATGGACCTTTGCTTTAAGCCCTTTCCTGAAGAGCTTTCTTTTCTTTTTCTGTCTTCTCTTTTTCTTTTTCCCCTCCCTGAAAAGACTCGTTAACAAATTATGACAGCTGAGCAGAGGAGCTTAGTCTGTTCACACTGCAAAGACAAACATGTGGGAGCCAAGAAGCCTGAGATGTGATCAATGTACCTACAGTTCATTTGATATTCTGCCTGGGGTGTGTGGAAGCATTGGGAGCTGCCAGAGCTGAGGCTTCAGTTGGGCAGAAGTGACTGAATCTGTGAGTGAAAAGTTTGATAACTGTGAGACAAGTAGACAAAATAATGTATATACATTCTTTTTTTTTACCTAAAAAAATAGGACTTGAGGTCTAATTTTATCCAGCTTCATGAACAAAATTACAATAGACTGTGTGAAAATTGAATAATTAAAAGTTCCAATGGAAATAAATTACAAAAGACAAAAGACAAAGTACCTTGCAAATAAAGTGTTTTGTGTTTCATTTAGTTTAGTTTTTTGTTTGTTTTGGGTCTTACTGATACCACAGTTGAACTGTTACCAAG